GGGTCTCTGTGTAAGGGACCTCGGGGGAATATTCTTAAGTTGCCAAACACTCGGCAAAGCCTCATGTTTGGCAAATTAAGAATCTTCCCCCCTCAGGTTGAGATCCCCCTATCTCACCCCCAAGGGGATGAAAGATTTTATTAATCCCAACTCGTACGCGTTCCACAACAATTCACATTTTAGAACTTTGCTTTTTTAGTATTTCAACTTTTAATTTCTCTAATAATAGAACATGTCTTTTTATTATATAGTATATTTATATTAATCTATCAAATACTAAAATAAATAACATACATGTAGGTTTAATATTTTTTTGGTTTCTACTGTCTTTCTAGAATATGGTGACCTCTCGGTTGTAAAACTGGAAGCTTGTTTACTATGCTATGCAGTCAAGATACGTTTGTAGTTTTAACACTTTCTGAAACATTACTGGTTATACATACATGACCTTTCAAACTGCTCCAACTGCCTAAAGTGACCCGCAACCTATAGTAAGTGTCTTTGTCACAGCTAGCTAAAAATACTAATACACTTAAAATAGAAATGTAATGAACTCGTCCATGGTGAAAATACATATATTTTTTAGTTTCTAACTGCTGTAGCATCGGCGGTATTTGGTGGATTTGAGCATACATGGTCTTAAACTGAAGGAGAAGAACCAGTCCTCAAATCAAGCTATAGCATAACATCGGTTCTCGAAAGTGTGTGCACAAATTCGGAAGTGGAACTTAATAAACATTTCAATTTTGTTTAGTCGGACAACTACACGTACAAAAAATAGTGTACACTATATGTAACAGGGTCAACACATTTCGACTAATGGGCACAGCCTCGGATAAGAAATATACTAGGAGACTAATCTATATCCTTTCTTACACTTATTCGAGAAATTAACAACAACAATTTTCCTGGCTTACTTTCATTGTATACGTCTCCTGTCGTTGCCCCTGTGGCTTCTATCAGGGCATAACAAATGAGCCAGATACCCAATGTGTATCGAGTACCATGGAGAAAAAAAATCAACGATCAGGCCTACTCAGCGATCGATAGTTTACCTTTTTATTGTTAGTTACGAGTCTAGATCACTATGATTTTATCAATTATCGTTAACTTAACGCATGCCTACCTCAAGTATCCGCCTTTTCCGCACGACATTGCTCCTTACTCTTTTCCTGAATAAAAGTTGGAGGCGGGTAAATCCGTACAGAACCGTGTAAGTTCGTACATGTTTTCCGGAAAGTCCGTACACCACATTGAAACATCGTTATTTATGTTACATCAGACGATATAAACTCGTTATATTGACGTAATAAATGTATGTTTTGAAAAATTTAAGCTATAACATATAAATCAATGCAAATATTCATAGTGATACTATGCTAACTGACATGTCCCATGCATACACATACAAACTGGACTGGGTCGATCGTCAGCGATGGAGCGTTCGTCTAGAGTTCCGAGGATCCCAGGTTCGAACCCCGACAAAGAACTCGGCATCAGATCAGCGACATACCCCTGTCTCCAGTACACAAGCAAACATCACTCAAATGTCGGTACACGTGAGTAAATGACCTTAGCCGTTAATACAACGCGGAATTCATTAAACAGTTGGAATGGAAATTTATGTAAATGTTGAGGCTTCGCTGAATTTTGACTCCTAATTTTATTCTGAAGTAACATGTACATTTTACATAAATCACTGGACAATTAAACGAAATTACGAAATACAGTATACATATTCTACATCACGTGTTTAAAAATAGCTTATGTAATCGGTACTCTATGAGGACGGCACACGAGATCATTCAAACCTTCTACATCGCTTCAGTATTTTGTATTGAATATAAAGTATTGCAAAAAACATGTTTAACTATTCGAAATTTGAAAACTTTTGACAACAATTAAATAACAGCAATACATAATTTTGGTTTTCTATGATTTATATTTCAAAATGAGAAAGTGTCTTGTTCAGGGAAGTAGCTCTCAGAACAAAAAATTGTATTGCACAAATTTCAAAATATAACACATGATACTCTCAGTTGAAAAAAAAACACCTCTGAAGTAGAACTATTTTTCGCCAAATTAAATGTTACCCTGAAGTAAACCTAAAGACTTTTTTGGAAACTGCGGCCCCCTGTTTTTGGATGCGTCGTTTTGTTGTAAACTGAAACTAAAGCTGTTGATCAGCTTCCTTGAAGCCAAGGGCATTGTTATTTAAGATATTAGTTTGATAGGACTGTTAGTACATGTAGTTCTTAATGCTAGATACAAGCTGATGTATTGAATAGTAATTGCAACATACTGGGATGAGCGGGTCCAAATGATCATTATGTAAATTAGGAAAAAAGTCAAGTATGGAAATTTTCCTACTAGTACACTATCTCATTATGCCACTCCATGTGTCCTATATTCTTCCACCTAATTGTGAAATTAGATATTTCATCAGATGGATATATATAAGTATGTAAAATGTTAGGACTATAGTCAATAGCATCGAGATTTCGTGAACAATGGGACCCTTGCAGGAGAAAGGTAGATATCCTCTGTTTGAATTATCATTTTAAATTTGCATGTTTCATTAAAGTCGTAGTCTTAACAGGTGTTAGTAAGCATTAAATCATTCATTATTAGAATATATTTGAAATGTTTTCATAACGGTTTAAATTCGAATTTGAAAAACAAAAATGCGAATATTGCATAACAATTTTAAATGTATATTTGTGTACGTACATCCGCCGAAACGTTTCACGTGTTTTGTATTTATGTCGGTTCATTTCATCAAACTAAAACTTAATAATGTAATATCATTTTGAAACATTTTCATAACGATTCAAAATCTGTATACGTATTCCTACTGAAACCCTTTCATTGAGTATGCTTTGGTTTCTGTTGACATATTTCACCAAACTTCACGTTAGTCATCTAATGTAGTTGGTACTATGGTTTATGACTTGTGATAACAAAATACATTCGTTGATTTTGCTAAAAGTTACAGATTCCCTGGGGTGCCGGCATTTAACATGGAGAATATTGGGGGTAGGGGAGATGTAATGCTATAAACAGTTAATTATTTGAGTAAACACACAACAGAAACACATTAAATCAATAAACAAGATGTTGGTGAAGTTATATATTATAACAGGAATAACCTTAAATCTACAATTCACTGAAAAAATGGAATTTAAGTTGGATTTAGCCAGAAAACCTATATGTGACACATATACATACAGATACACACATGTGCAACTTTTGTAAAAGCTTGTTCTGTGGTCCTGAGGGGCTACTTGTTGCTTCAAAGCTACATATTAGACGTTTTGTTTTGATTATTTGAATAAAAGTGGATTGACCCAAAGACTCCGAGTACACATAAAGCGACATGTATTAATACATAATGCATATTGTTCGGAACAGTATTAATGCCTACACGACATCTGTTAGTAGTATTGATGTATAATCGAAGCAATATACTACAGTGTCAGTACACGAGAAAACAACAGGTATCAATAATGCACGTGCCATATGTTACCCCGTCGTGATGATGTCTATCCATTCTCGGTCACCAACGATCTGTTTCACAGAAATCAAGTCACAAATCATAGTAGAAAAAGGGTCATAATAACAACCTTAACACTTCAAACGACGTACGTAGTAGCCGTGTATGCGTGTATGTGTGTATGTGTGTATGTGTGTATGCGTGTATGCGTGTATGTGTGTATGTGTGTATATGTGTATGTGTGTATATGTGTATGTGTGTAAGTGTGTATATGTGTATGTGTGTATGCGTGTATGTGTGTATGTGTGCCGGAGACAAAGTATGTTAATGAACTAACATATTTGTGGTAGTGCGGATCTGATGCCGACTTTAACCCGGAAAGAACCATATTTACAGACTGAAATGGCGTTTCTAAGGAAATGAAATTAGTGTGTTTAGATTCATTGTGAGGTGTTCATTTTTATGCCTTTATCTATGATAGTTTCGTTGATGGATTTTGCCTTGTTTTCATATTCGCCAGTGAACTGACATCTGTGAAATATTTCGCAGTGTAAAAGTATCAATTTTGCTATTGACCAATCCAAATGGTTCCTCCACTTAAATGCTCCAAAACCTCAGATTTTGTAGGCAGATAAGATGAAGCGACTGTAGAAAAAGTAGCTGTTTAGAAACGTCTTTGCTATATAAACCGTAATATTTATCTAACAACACAATTCATAACATCAAAACATACTACATGTATATCTAACTAAACGGTAGAGCTACCGTGTCGTCAAGTGTGACGTCACTAGGATATTGCTTTTATTACTCTGTTTGTAGGTATCATCGTCGGAGTATGGATTCTAAAAAATGTAATAAATAACATTGAAGGTCCCCCGTTGAATAATACATTTATATACATGTAGTTGGTATTACTCAAAGGGGATTCTACATTCGCGGTCATTGAAATTTTCGAAATTAAATACACAGCGATTATAATACAGTGAATTATAATCTCCTTGAATAGGCGAAACATGCAGAATAAACACTGATATTTTTTGTTATATACTTTGAACAACTACACAATACATCCCATTTATCGAACTAGTCACTTCGGGTCTTAACCCGTTCATCCTATGCAACTTTAGTAGACTCTCTGATGCACTGTACCCCTGAAGGTGGGGTATCGGTAAGGGAACACACCTGCTGTTACCCACAGCATGTATCGTAGGAAGTGGCCAATGTGGGAACCCACTGCAGAATTTGGGATTTGCTTTGGTGTCCTCTATTTATGGACACAAAAGCGACCAAAAAAAAATATGCTGCACCCATTGAATTATTTGGGACCCTTATCTTTCTGTCTACTTCGAATTCTAACTACAAATGTACCTTGCATACATACATTGACCTGGATCGATGAGTCCATTACAGTCTACAGCGGTACAGGGGTTAATCATATGCGGAAATTGACCCGGCCAGGTCCATGCTTCGGCAGTAATTATACCGATTCGATTACAAAATCTACCCTACCAGGATTGTTATCTTTTTAAAAAAAAAACATAGAGGCAGTAATGTTGTGATAGCAGTTATAGTCTGTTTCATATATATTTTACCTGGTTTTTACCTGTGTTCTCCCACATTACCTGTATAATATAAACAGTTCTTTCATATACATGTAGCCATTTTGTTCATATTATATACCATTTTCATCAGCTAGATCTATACAAAACATAGGAATGGAGGCAGGACATCAATAAAATCATCATTGCTAGAGAAAATTACTATAAGGTTTACTTCTTACTGTGTACTGAACTCTTCTTGTGATACGTTAAAGTCCCAAACAATGTTTGATGGTTTGCCTTCTCTCTCACCTTATATTTCCAAAAGACAGCACATTACCTTGTACAAAAAATGAATCAGTTTATTATCCTGATGCCCAAATTTCGTGATTTCCCGACAAAACATGCTTATTTTATCAAAACCAGAATCAGCGAATGATAACTCTTACATGGACAACGAAACCATGACTTTGGCACACGAAAAACAGTCTGAACAATCCACCATGCCGAAATCTGTAAATTCAGATAAAACTGAATTACAAAACGGCGTTATTCTTCAAATTCCACCAGAAAAATCATACCAAGACACTGAATCAGAAGGAAAGAATGGTGCTTGTCTTCCGTTGCCATCGTTTAACACTGAAATATCTGGAAGGCAAAATGATGGTTTTGTCTCTGATGATCAGAATGGCCGAAATACCAACAAATTGCAGGAAATAAAAGCGCAGCTGGCAAATCAACTCAAACATGAACTGTCCTCAGAACAGAACGCAAATGGTTCTGGGTCAATCTCTACAACAGGCTCAGAAAATCAAAGTGCTGCTTCGACTCCAAAAAAGCAGAGAAGCGAGGCTGAATCAAAAGTATCGTTTTCGGAAGAAACCAAAGTTTCAATATTTAAGCGAATGGACAGCATCCCGGTCGAGGAGAGTTTCTGTCAGAGAATGACATCACTAAGATGGCAAGTAGCATTCATGTGTTGCCTGATTGCGTCACTAAGCATGACAGTTCGACAGGAAATGAGTATGGCCATTGTGTGTATGAGTGACACAAAGACTGATCTTATGACCAATACAAGTCAGGGAAATGGCTCTATCGTCACTTCATCTACTGAAACAAATGTAAGTATTGGTTTATTTGCTTGTTTTGTGTGAAGCGTTCTTAAAGTACTTAGGTCATATCAATAACGGGTGCCAAAGGAGACAGCACCGCAACAATAAGAAAAGGAAAGTGGGAAAACATTCACATCTCAAGTATTGCAATATGGGACAGCAGACTTTTTTTAAGTAACTGAATCAAAACTCAATGATTGGTTTTTGTTTGGTTTTATTTCGTTTAACGTCCTATGAACAGCTTAGGTTATTTAAGGACGTGCCTCCGTGTATGTTGCGGATGCGTGCATGTGTGTACATATGTGCTGGAGACAGGGTATGTTGGTGTATTTGCCTCCTTCTGATAGCGCGGATCTGATGCCGACTCTACAGTACTATCTCACTGCAATACGCAGCACAGCGTTCCGCCCGGTCACATTATACTGACAACGGCTGAACCAATTGTTGCCATTACCGTTAATGGTGAACGTTAAGCAGGGAATAGCAACTACCATAACTCTATGAACGCAATCACTTCTGGTAATGCTTATAGAAGAACTTGAATAAACTGCAATATGCTCTGTCGTGATGCATAAACAATCTCCAAAAATAGTACTACATCTGCAACCTTATAAACCTGTTATACTGTTATACTGTTATACTGACTTATTATTTCATTAGTCTTTAGCTGACCATTAATATCTACAATTTAAAAACATATTACAACATTAGTTTTTGTCCTTTTCCGACAAAAATACCAGTTACAATGGGACTTGGAAACACAGGGTCTTGTGCTATCATCCTACTACTACACTTTTCCTCTCACGCCCTTGCTGGGAGGCTATTTGGCAGGGAAATTCGGCGGAAAGTGGGTGATCTTCAGTCAAATTATGCTCATGTGTGCAGCCTCGATTTCAATTCCATTCGTTGCCCTCATCGACCCAGCGCTTGTCATGATCGCCCGTGCTGTTGTTGGTTTCACATCAGTGAGTATTTCTCGTTTATTTTTTTAATATTTAGAAGTTTATGTTGCAAACTTAGATGATATGAATTTTTTTTCTCACAAGTTTTGAAAATAGGGTAAAGCAAAACGTATGATCGTTTCAGATGTGTTTATATAATGTCGAAGTTGATGAGTCTTGCACTGTATAATGAAGGAGACAAAGCATATTGACAAATTTACCATTAAATAAAATACCTATCTACATTATCATTTAGCTTTTACTTTTTTTCTGTCTTATACGTAATGCAATCACTCAAAGAATTGTACCATCCCCATTGCTTAACACTTCATTTTCTTCAATGCTTATCTTTATCAAACACATAATAATATTTGTTTTCCTCTACTTCTAAGGGCGGGTTAATGCCGGCTACCGTTCAGCTTCTATCGAGATGGGCTCCACAATTTGAACGTTCCAGAATGTTAGCAATCGTCAACTCAGGTATGGATTGTTCAATGAGTGCAGAAAAATAAGGGGGAATTGGGAAAAATGGTAAATGTTGATATCTTAACAGTGAAACAATATTGTACTATGACAGTACTTTTGAATAAGACACAAACGACATGATATGCTGTAAATATTTGTGACAAAGAGTTATGACTGCTCCTTTCACACTGAATTGACGCTACGGTACATTTTATTTTTAAAAAAAGCATTAGCTACAAAGGTACAAACAAAAACATTTTCAAATTCCCGAGGAAATATGGGCCGAACAAACAACTCTTTATTGATATTAAAAGCATATTTGTCATTAGTTTTTGCCTATGCATTGTATATATAGAGGTTACACAACGAGTAGTTGTTGAATATGGTATTTATTTCACTCGAGTTCAAAAGTTACAAAAGACACGAGCTTTAGCAAGTGTCTTTCTGTAACTTTTGAAAACTAACTAACGAGAGTGAAGTAAATACCATATTCAACAACCACGAGTCGTGTGATCTGTTTCTACCACAATCTCAGTCGGAAACAGCTGGAGTACATTGTATTTCCTGATTTGAATAGCATACACACATTTTGTTGACAAGGCTGGCGTAGTAATATGACCCATATGTAAAACGTCACTCATTAATATTCAAAAATGACTTTTCTTTTTACAAATTTAATCATTTTCAAAATTAATGTTTAGGCAACAACTTCGTGAAAATAAAATAGAAGAACGACTTCAAATATTGAGAGTATGCAATATTGCATTAATCAATATTAATTAACCACGGACTTAATGCGCGTAAGCATATCGTACGACACTGTTACAGATCTTGTTTGGGTTTCACAGAGACATATAAGCTTGCATTACGTCTCTTGGTTTTTACGACCTGGACATGCGACGGTATGGCGTCGAAACGATATCGAGCGTCTGTAGCAATTTTGCCTGAAACTAGCGATCAAATCTTTAAGCATCATCTTCTTTTGGTATTGCCTTAATAACCCCCTTTTTCCATCGCATAACCTCACAAAAGTCACTAACATTTGCCGGATGTTGACAGCAGACGACGTAAACAAAACAGCACGCGGCAAAAAGCGCGTGAAGAAAGTCGCCCGGTCAAGGTTCATCTTCTCGACCAATCAAAACTACGGAAGGTCTTATACCACGTGTGGTGTATAACTCATATTTATTCAACAGGATGCATGTTTATACAATGATCTGAGAGTGGAATAAGACAGCGCATTGTGGTAGAATTATATTTATCATATGAATACTGTGTTACGCAGTGTAATAAAGCCGTCACATACATTATGTAACGTGGGTGATATCAATCCGGAAATGACGTCATAATCGTATAGGAACAATTAATGTGACGTCACAACATTGTGAAGCGGACGCAATTTTCATCTCTTCAGAGGCGGCCAAGTGCAAAATATTCGTTTCAGATACGAATATACAGTTTACCTTGTATCATATGATAAAAAGAATTTGCCATTCGTTTCAGAGGCTCGCAAACAAGAAAAATCCAAAACTTGTATTATAAATCGAATGTGAAGGGATACTTATGACAGATCCTCTATAAACATATATCGATTAATCTTGGTATCAACGTTTGATTTGTTACTATTAATTGTAATTAATCAGGAATATATTTCGTAATTTTGTGTCTATTTTGTACAAAGAAAGCAAAACAAAGTGAACGACGGCATATTCAGGATAACATGGCGACATTTAACGAACATGCTGTATATAGGTTATTTCTTATCAAATTTAAACGCCCGAAGAGACCCAAGTTGGCGAAAGTACTAGCGATAATTATCTTTCAGTGTTTTGTTTTGTAACATTTATATTTATATTTTTCATTTATGCAGGCCAAAGCATTGGTAATATTTTAGCCTTCCTCTTGTCCGGTTTTATATGTATGATACCTTTCCAAGGAGGATGGCCTTTCATCTTCTATATATTTAGTAAGTATTACAAGGTTTTTCTTCGAGTAGATCACATGGTTTAGCACATTTAATTTGTTACTGTATCAGCCTGCGAAAATTTGTTTAATATATTATTACTTACATTCAGTTAATTTTTACTATAACATATGATATATTTGTATTGGATACCACCACTTTTCTGTTTTACTTATACGCTGTAATATGGAAAGTAACATGAAGACATTAAACCATTGCATTTAGAAAGCAGACCATTATCACTTGTAACGGTCAACACGTACATTTGAACATCGTTCAGTCACACTACCTGTAGCATTCATATTTGTCTCATTATAGCTGCCGTCAACTTCCTTGCCAACCTCTTATGGGTAGTTGTTGTCTACGATTCACCGGAAGTACACCCAAAAGCTAGCGCCAGGGAAGTTCTTTATATACTACAAGAGCGGCGCAGTAGTACCGCCAAGGTAGGCATGATTGCAAAAATTCACCTTTCCGGTGAACAATTGTCTTATTCATAAAACACTTATACTCTATCATAGCAAGGCACAATGTAACAAAAAGGGGATATCTGTCAAAGATATGATAACTGAAGTCATGTTCAAAAAGTACTCGTTGATATGTTCTATAAACGCAACTCATTTCTACTCTTGTGACATGAATATTACCTATATAGTGACGTCATAATCAGTTTCAGATAGCTATGTTCCTCGGTTTAATTATATGACATCATAAAACGAAAACGATCTACGTGTTCATAATGAAATTTAATAACACATTTCAAAAATGTTTTTCTTATTTCATCGGTTCAAAATAAAAACATATTTATCAACGTTTGTAAATGACTTAATGATCACAGTGTCGTCAATCTTGGAATACTTTTTCTAATTAATCGAGTCCTTGATATTGCACAATGTCACCCCAAGATGGGGGTAATTTTATTTCAAAGAAGTGGATAAGATAGTCTGTTGTTAAACCTGAAGCATTTGGATTGAATTATTCCTTAAATGTTGATTGTTTAAGATGCCTTCACCACCGTGGAAAAACTTCGTCACTTCCGGTCCATTCTGGGCTATACTGGTAGCACATATAACACACGTGTACATATTCACAGTGATAGGTACTTTTCTTCCTCTGTACATGAAAGACGTCCTGATGTATGATCCTACGACGGTAAGGAATTTATAAGGCAACTCCATATATGGAGTAGTGTGATACAAGCAACAACAACAAAAAACTGAAAAGAAGAAAAAATGTTAACTTTGCTTTAATAAGCTATCAAATCTAATACAAATATAATACCTTAAATGTTTTCTTCTTGATTTAATTCTTAAAAACAATCGTGTTTACTAATTAAATTATATTTTTTTTTAATTTTTGATAGTTCTAATTTATTCTATTATATAAATTTGTTCTAATATATAAATCTGTAAAAAAAAAAAAAAAAAAAAAAAAATGTACTGATATTTTGTGGTTGATCAAGGTCTTCCTTATACATGTATGGTGCGGGTCATGAAGTCGTGAAAAGCATACTCCTTGAAACGTTTAAATATGCACGTACTCATTCTAAGAAGGTGTGAAATGCGGACAAACAGGTCAAACTTCAAAATGGTTAAATTCAACTTATTGTAGTTACTACTTTAAAACGAGAAATGTTCGCTGTAGTTTAATCTTCTCCTGTTTCGACTTCCGTGGTAAGGACGAATTTCTTGTACACAGTATCACAGTGTTAAAATAATCAAATTATTAATATGAGGTGTAAGTAACCGTGTACAATTTCATTCACATCTAGAACGGAGTGCTGTCCTCTTTGCCTTTCATTGGACGATTCATTGGCGCATTCTCGGTTGGGTTTTTAGCTGACAAATGTACGGAAAAGAAATGGTTCTCGACTGGCACGATGAGAAAAGGCCTACAGTGTATTGGTAAAGTTTAATTAACCAAGGGTCATTTTACAAACCATTTCATTAGTGTGATATTTAATAACTGACCTATCAATTTAAGTTTGTCACAGTTATGCTTTAATTTAAAACACTTCATAAGGTCTGATTATTGCTTTGTTTGGTTTGGTTTGTTTGTGTTTTACTTCCTATTAACAGCTATGGTCATTTAAAGATGTGCCAGGTTTTGGTGGTGGAGGAAAGCCGGAGTTATCGGAGAAAAACCACCAGTACCTGGCGACTGCTCCACGTAGGCCTCGACCCCACGACCACTTGGTGGGGGCTAGTGATAGCAGATTGTCAGACGCCTTAACCACTTGGCCACCGCGGCAATATATTGCAATATAGTGATAATCATTTATAAACTATATCAAAAATTAAAATTTTGGTTTTCTATTCTCGCCACCAATATTTTTTGCCACAGCAAACTGTTTTATGTAAACAAGATACATGTATTTAATTCGAATAAAAAATACATATCCTTAATATTTACAGTCGTAATTGACATTCACTTTCATAAAATAAATAGTTCACAAAAAATGTCAATATAGACTGTTTGAAGGGATGTGTATTTATGTTTGGAATTAAATAATAGTTTTTGTTAACATACACCCTTTTCTTGTTAACTAAACTTATCATCTCATAAGTGTAGGACTGACGATACAAGTTTTCATGACGTGAACTGCAACACTAATATGTTAATTTTCCGCGAACGAGACACAGTCATGTGACGTGACCAGAGTAAACGTACGCTGATGTAAATGTCGAGTTGTACATTTCATTGAACCGATCAAGCATATTTTTTTTAATGAATCTGTTTCCACTAATCAGACAAAAGTATGAAATAGTTATGAACTATTTACAGAAAAATACAGTTAATTTCAGTTAGGAATATCTTTTTTTTTTACATCAAGTAATGAGGTTGCAACTCCAGTTAATTTATCATAAATGATTTCGCTATGTTTTCACTTGTAATTCCTCTCAAAAACATAAAACTATTCCTGAAATATTCATACATATCAGTGGTACCTGCAAGTAGACAAGGGTTTGTTTGCTTCTAGGTTGTTAATTGTGAATTGTTACTTCAGATTACTCAGTAAGGAAACAAATACCGTTAGTCTAACTTGATCTGTTGTATATTTCATACAGGCATGCTTGGGTCAGCTCCATTTCTAATTGCCCTTAGTTACATGACGGTAGAGAGAAGGACATTGGCCGTAGTATTCCTGATATGCTACTGGACATTGCAGTCTACAACCAATGCTGCATTTCGTGTCAATCATCTCGACATAGCACCGACGTAAGTACACGTGCTCATACTTTCAATAAAACGGCAAAGTCATTCAGCAAGAGAATAGATTAAAGCATCGAATTGGGTCCAAATAAATATTATAACCGTACCTAGCATATTTCAACAGGGGCCCTCCGTATATTACATGTATATGTCAGCAATCTACTTTTTTAAGATGACTTCCAGGTCAGCGGCACTGTTTTGTAATCCCATATTTTATTGATTTACATCAAATTAAACGTGACCCAAATGTTTGTATAAGAATCCCATGGAGGAATTCGTTGATCAGGATGTCAAGTTCAAGACATAGGACACATACATTTCAACTGTTTTGACAGCTATATTACAAGGGTACATGCTGTGTCTGCTTTTGTTTTGTCTTTCAATGATTAGCCATTCAATTAAGATATATCTACAATTTATCATAATAGGGCTCCTCTTGAAAACAAAATACAAAATGCGATTTTTACAAAATCGCACTTTGAATGAAAGTTAATGCTTAGAACGCACTTCTCATCAAAAGTGTTTATATACCCAAGTCATACAAGGAGCATAATGGTCAATGAGCCCTCTAAGCGGGGGTTATAATCACCCAACATTGCAAACCCTGATAAGACACATTGAAAGAACCTAATTATAAATCAGAACTCATATATGCAAAAACTATTTATAATGAAATTGTGCATTTGAATATATTGATCTTGCATTTACACTATTAAATGGTTTATAGAGCGGTTGACGTCGTCAAACATAAGGCGTTAAGGCTAATGTCTTCATAAAAATAGCTCACAGGACATAAAAAGCGTGAATCTTATGTTCATATAATATAGTATATCCCTAGGTAGAGAGGTAAAACGGCATCGAAGCAAGATGGTTATGGCTATGGGAATGCACAAAAAGCCCAGCAAAATGTCCAAGTGACATTTGTACTGGTATATATATGACAACCATACGGTTATCGAAACATGTCATATTGTTAAATGTACCAAACCTAGTCATGTTATGAACATTATACACTTGTAACACTTTCAAGTAACAATATTTTAAACATTTGTAGCATATCTATAACATCCAAACATGATATGAAATGGCACATCATAAACAGTTCATTGAGTGATGTAGGTTACTCACCTTCTGTTTTATTATGTCAAGCTGCTAACATATATAAACAGAAAAGTTTATTATTAGTTTTGTGCTTCGTTTTGAAGCTGGTGTGCCTCCCGGAAGCTAGTTAAAAACTCATTAAGTCTCCCATGACCTTAATATACAATGTATACATGAAATTTACATAATGTGTCATTTAGGAGCATTCAGCTTGGTTGCAAAAGAGATTGATTTGTTTAAACTCCGGTGAACTTTATTTATGAATATATCGGCCCTTTTGCTCAATTTCTGGATGGTTATGTACCATTTATTTGAGCTTATGTGCATGTTTGATATATTCAAATTTTATACATAAGATAGGATATTTAATTGGGGTCTTTGATTATGACTTATCAAATGGTTTTAATTTATTGTGACTATACCACCTAAATGCAAGCCTAAATTCGAGATGGTACTCAAAACCAAACAAAAGCATTTTAAAATGCACCGATAATGTATACTAACAGCATTTAATATGATACCAACGACCGGGTGACAACCATTAGACTAACGAACTTTACTTAGCTTGTCCTTTCGTGGCATTCGGTATTGTTTTTGTAAATCAGTTTGACGTGCTAACAAAATGAAATGCTGTGAAACGACGGGTTATCTAAAGGGCATTTATTAACCTAGATCACGTAACTCTAGGATACAAATGTATACACAATTATACCAAGACATGTTATGCTAGTTTTGCGGTACATGTATAGACTTGCACACAGCATTATTTCTCCGAGACAGGTATACTTCTCTAAGCCAGTAAACGCTTGTATAAAGCGCTGCGTGCTCTGGGTATATAGACAAAATTTAGAAATAGATTCAATACGGAGCAAACAGATTGGTGTCATATCTTACATCGGTTCAACATCTATCTCTGAATCAGGTCTTTAATTATGACTCATATAAGGGTTGAAACTACGGTAACATTACCGTCTTTAGGGGGTTAGTTGTGATGTTACCTTCATTAAACTAAAGAGTATACTTTTGGCTTTACCCAGTACGCTAACAAAAGTCGTCAATGATTTCGAAATTTTAATAAATGACTTATTTTAAGAAAGTGCGAGCTCAAAATGGGGTCCACATAATTAATACATTTACCATGAAATATTATGTAAAAAAAACTATCCCAAACTCATTCAGATACTCCAATAATAGTGTAAATAATAAACTGTCGGTATTCTCTTTGCTAAATGTGTAGCCTTTGTCCCCGAAAATGTATGATGCAGCATTAAAGATGGAGAACATGTTTGCTTGAAAGTCAGAGTATTAGTACCGATCGGTTTGTTATCCGGCGGTCATCTTTGAAAGTTAAGATGACCACAATATAATGTCTGGATGAAGTGACCCCTATTTAATAATTAAAACAATCACATTTATCTACGATTCCCACATCTTTCCTGAATCCTATGGCCCCAGAAAAGCGTCTGAAACACGTGTTTTGATGTGCTAATTGAAATATGGTTATATGCATTATCACATCCTAAGACCTAAGCCATCCGGCTAAAACACCTGGCATCTGGACGTGTTTGATGTGTTAATTAGTTTAAGATATTACGCAGTATCAAGTCCTACGATCTCAACCACCCGGCTAAATCACCTGGAGTGTTTAAATGTTTTAATAAAAGCACAGTTACAAGATGCGTTACGTGACGGGAGTCTTAAAGTATGCCGTGCTACTATGATAAATAATTTGATAGTTTGGGAAGAGGTGTAAATTGATTTCTTTCCTTTGTTCATCTTTTGCCCTAGTCTGATCCATTCCGAGTTCAATATAGGGTTTGTTGGCACTTAAGAATATCCTTATCTGTTTTATTTTTTACTACACTAACAACTTGTTTTTTTAAGGTTTTGAATAAAACTTACCTATTTGTAAAATATGATTATCCCTTGACTATGGTTGTACATGTATTAAATGGTCTGTAAATGTTACCGTTACAATTGTGGATTATTTTGGTCCCCCCTATTGACTTCAATTTAATGGGTAAGGAGTACATGTAAGCGTGTTTTTTCGTTTGTTTTTGGTAATTACATACGAGATTTGAATTGCGATCATTCAGTGTGTATGTTATGTACGTAATGTTAGTAAACGTGCAGGGGTGAGAAGGTAGTTTAAGAGATCGTCATATTTTGTAAATGGGACTTGTGAAATGTATTTAGTAAACAAATATAAAGGATTTGAAAAATTAACATTGTGACTATACATGGGGCTATATAGGGGGGCACGGTAATCTAGTAATAGGACGCCGGGCTCGTGACCGAAGGGTTGGGTGTTCGTGTCACGGCACGGCACTGTGTTGTATCTTTGAGCAAGATACTTTACTCCTCTTATTACAGTCTACTCAGCTGTAAATGAGTACGTCGTTGGCCAGTGCTAGAATTGTTGAGATGTATGTTAGCTGTTGGCGCCGAAATGGCAGCTCCGGCTGCATGCTCCCCAGAGTTGAGAAAGGTATTGGCTGGTTGCAAAGTCCCTATTCCGTCATTTGTTTGTGAAAGTAACGTCATCAATTTTTGAGAAAACGACGTTATTTTCTCACACAAACCAATGACGTAACAATCAATACCTGCTAACAAGAGAAGATAACTCTGCAAAACGCAAAGACGGAATAACCACGGATAATAGTTTGTGAACCGCTTTGAGACGACCTACGAACTAGGTTGTGATAAAAAATAAGAACCTCGAATTATTAATTATTATCATATATATTTACTACAGATATATAAAATCTACTGAACTATAAATGGAAAAGAGAATTAATCTAAGCTCAGATAAAAAAAAAAAAAATGATGTTTCAGTGAAGTATGAGAATGTTTTTAAACGTGTTTGTGTTTCATGTTGCCAAGTCTCAGATCACCGTAACTGTATATGGAGAAATGTGCGATTTGGAACAATTGGTTGATCAATATTACGGAATGAACAACATCCGGAAGGCTCATATTGAACACGGAAGACTGTATATATACATTTCTCATCATATTGATTAATATTGTGTTCAATTTTACAATGCGTGTTGCACGGTAATACAGTGACACTTAGACTGTCAAGAATGGGTTTGGCTCCCCGGTAAGAGAACAAGCGAATAACATTTTGATCAGTGATCAAGTTTTAACTGGCGCCCTGTGCCTGACATAGAGAGCCGATATATGATACAGTATGTACATGTACAAAGTGGCAATGTTTACCTGTACACGGGTCCGTGTCAATATGTGTTATAATTTTAAATAACTCGATTGGGGTCGGTTAAAATAAAGCAAAACACCATTTCTAGATTTAGTTTATCTGTGTAGCTAGAATATAGAAAAAATCAAGTTTAACACGGAGCCGTGTATATTGTTAAAACATTTCTCAATTTTCACCAACCACGATTGAAATCGCACAACATTCATCAATCTTCTCGTCCAGATTTTTACAATCAAAATCGTCACAGCGTAAATAAGCCTTGTTCAAAAAGAACACGCCCACAAACCGAACGGTTGTTTCAGCGTGTCACTCACTGCATCTGGCTCGTCGGTTGGTCGATAGAACGTTTGAAGTCGGTGTCGTCCTTGATTTATTTGTATTGTGTTCCGTTTGTAGTGGGACCGTGCTTCCAACGGTATCATTTATAGTGCCACCTCACTTGAATGCTACAGCACAGATACCGCAACACCCATCCCAGACCATTTTATACTCCACCTGGGTTGTTGGAGTTGGAGTCATATCTGTCAAAAAATGCCTACAATTTTTAAAAAATACATATTTGTATTACATTATCCAAAAGGTTTTTTTCAGTTTTTTTGCCAATAATAATTTTAATGTGGATTTTTCCTGGATCTAGAGAAATACATAACAATAGAATATTTTGTTATTAAAACAAGCTATATTTTACAATGAACGTCGCAAACATGTTCAAAATGATCTACTGATGTATCTATACATGTATACTGTTTGTCTTTTTTTTTTCACTTCCCTTCCTTCTTCCGGGGGTGTCTTCCTCTGCTCCTCTCTTCACATTACCGTATCTGTTACGAGGACGTTAAACCATTCACTGCTATTCACCTGAAAAAGTATCATACTTTCTGTCGTTACAGATATGCTGGGATTATTAATGGGATTACATTGACGTGTGCTTCGTTAGCGGCCCTAGTAGCACCAGTAGTCACCGCTGCCATTACAACTAACGTAAGTCCTGCCATGTATCCATTATCGTCAGTGTCTGTTTTGTTTGTATTTATAACGATGCCGTTAGTTGTATTTATTTTACCTGCATGTTTCTCATCCGTGTATTTTTTAATCAGATCAAGTTTTAGAAAATAAATGCGTTACCCGGTTTTTCCTTGACGGAAGTATAGCCAAGAATAGGGACGGACTCGGAGGTATCAGAACAGGGATATAACGTTATTTATGAGTGTTCATTAATACTGAATACTGACGATTAACATACAAACGTACGTAGCGAATATTACTACATGTCCCTGTTTACATATGTGGGATTGTGTCCGCTGTGGGTTTTATGTCTGAAGAGTCAGATAATTTAAAACCAGATTTGAAAATATCAAATAGGGAAAAAGGAAGAGAAGAAAAAGAAATTATGATAAGATAAGTTTCAATAAGACACCGCTTCAATTCCTAAGCTGTTCCTTAATTTACATGAACCACGATCACACTGTTTATAGTGCAACGTATTGTGAGAAAGCTATAGTATTGCCTATTAATGTTCGCACATTGTGCGCATTTTGTGCGTTAAATTCCCTTGTGCAATCCAGCCATTGAATCATTGAAATGCTTACAATATAATGTGATTGAACGGGCTCGAGTGTAACTGTGTCCAGGTTATGAACTTTAAAAGATCCCCTCATCCGTGGACAATGACAGGGACCTTAGCTGATGTGAGAATTTTAACCACAAACAAATCAGCTCATACCTTATCCTTAACTAGGTTTGACCAATCCAGGACGGGGTAGTTTTTTTCAAAAATGATGCGTTTAAGCACACTCGCCTAGAAACAATTTAGAAAAATAAAGTACACGAAAGAACCTAAACAAATACATAAGGAATTATGCAGATCTTTGTTAGCATTTTAAGTGCATTATAAATCCACTTCGAAATTTTTAGTTGTGTTTCCTTTAGTTGGCTTTCTTGTTTGCTGTTTCTGTCTTTCACTAATGAAAATAACTAAATTCCAGACCGTTTTTTATTATCATACAGGGAACCCGAGAAGAATGGCAGATTGTATTCTTCATTTGCGCAGGACTTGGAGTGTTTGGCGCCTTAGTGTTTTGCCTCCTAGGATCTGGAGAAGAACAGGAGTGGGCAAAGGACCCAAATCTGGACATCGAAAACGATATACGTCGAATGTCTATGGACGTTCAGTCATTAGCAGAACAACCAAATGGGGAAACATCTGGTTTCACATTGGGTGGTAAACGCAGAAGATCTTCACAAAAACCGTTAGTCGGCGTGTCATCAGATGTCTCAATAACTGGACAGGATATTGATGAAGAAGATTTGACCTATTCTAGTTTGGAAAAAGGACAACTGTCTTTTGAAACCGAGCTAAAAAATAACGACTTCATCCATGCAAATAACAACAGTTTCTCCAATCTACGACCAATATTGAATTTCCATTCTCATTCCGAAAAAGATTGCAGGTCGATAGATGATATAAACGCTATTGGTAAATCACCAGTGAATCCAACGCTCTCCTATTCCAGCTATGGTTTTGAAAATACAATAATGGACATAGACGACGACGCAGAGCAAGAACCAGCTTCCCAACTTAATAATAGCATCGGTAATACAACAAAGTACAGTGATGACATAGAAGAGACGGAGACATATACCAGTAGTTTTGATCGAACCGACAACACGGGTGTTAAGAATAGAAATCACAAAAATCTAGTTATGGTTATTAGTAAGAATGACGCAGTATCAGAATGTACACATCTTTAACGTTACCTGCTATGATGCCTGGTATTTCATAGTAGTTGTTATACATTTCTTGCAGCGCACAAATGTCTCTTTCATAAACACCTGTGTCTCAAGCAACATTTATATGACTTCAAAAACAATGATTTTCCCATTTTTGTCTTTTTGTATATCCTTGCAGTTGCATTAAATTATCGTCAATAACCAGCATTTGAACAACTATAATCTCATTTACATGTCCCAGAAAAGTCGTTACCATTTAAATGTACACTATATGTAATCTACAGCTAAACAGGTGAACGACGACCTGGAAGGAACCATTTTTGTTATACGTAAATTTGGATTTCATAAAAAACACACATTTTGATTTGAAAATTCACACGAATCATGTCCATAATCATTTTTGTTTTCGATATGATATCTATTCATGTTTTTATTATATATATTATCCTCGGGCAATTTTGTGCGAATAAATTTTGTCATTAACTGCAATTTGTTGAACGGTTTTTATGTGTTGATCATACAATTAAGGTGACTGTTTAATAACCGTGTTGATAGTTCTAGAATTAAGGGTTTGTCGAAGGGGATGTTCCAAATATAGCAATATGTAATCAAGAAGTACACACCCTGAATGATAACTTATCGAAAAACACTCTTGCATAAATTATAGCAGAAACACATTACACTGTACGTATAAATGAAGTTAAAGCAAGTTGAATTTCCATCTACAAATCAAGCGCTACGCTAGTTTAATGATGCTTATATTTCTGTTTGACCTAGCCAAATTACACATATATACAACAAGAGTACTGCAGAGCGGAACAATATATGCACATCCCATACTGACATACTTAAAATCCTTCTGATGCATTTTAGTATCTAAATGTACGAAAATGCAGAAATGTACATAAGAAACCACAATCGAACTTTATGACTCAGTTAAGTTGATAGCTATTCCTGTGATGTTAATGAAAGGTAAAAAAACATACAGTACTCTTATAGCATAACCTGAAGGAATGCAAATATTCCATAAAGCCTTTAAAAATCGATTTGCATAGCAAATATTTCCCTCTGTCCATATATCAAACCACGAAAATAGAAATGGACATTGCCCCCTTTGCCAATAATCAATTCATCTTACACCATTTAAGCCAAAGACGTGAACGCAGTATTCTTGTTTATTATTCGCAGATTTTGTTAAACATTGAAATTAACCTTTGTCTTACTTTAAATAAATATTTACCAAGTTTCACCCGAATCGAGTCATCTGAATAAGTTATAGTGCAGAATCCGTCAATCAATCGGAGCGCATTTTGCTAATTAATGTCTAGTTTAACTCAACTCAGACCTTAGTCTTTGTCCTGGTTCATTTTTTGCATTTCATATAGATACTTAGTAAGTTACATAAAAACCGAGCAAGTTATCTTGCGGAAACTAAAGTGTGGATTATACAAACTTACCAGCTTTCATTAATATTGAAAAATATCTGTGAGAAATAGAAATGTCGACGGACAGATGTTCCCAATACCATGATATTAAAAAATGAGTAGATAAAAGCAATACCATAGCCTTAACACAGAAGGGTTAATCAGAACAGGAACTCGATAAACAAAATAAATACGCCATGAACCTTGGTAATACAGTTAATAGGATGCCATGAGTTAGATTCAAATAACAATAAAGTCTGCTGTGAGAAAAACAAACCTAAAGGAGGGAAATTGCGGCAAGCCAATCCACTAAACAAACAGGTCAAGGTGCTCTGGATTATAAAGCGTGTGGTAACCTTATATGGTTCATGTATATGATAATTAATAATTAAAAGAACACTTGTTTTTGTGAATGTTTTATTTGGTTTCTTCAGAAAAAGAAACTTTGGTTATACATTAACAATATCATCTGATGTTCAGGTATGTATTGTTTTATTACATGTATGTTGAGTTGTCTCGTCTTTGGTCGATACGCCATAATCGTTTTCAAATACGGCGTTGTCGTTGCCGGTGACTTTAATATCCACATTTCTAGTAAATGCAGGATCCTTTGCCCATTCCTGCTCCTCCCCACTGGCTAACAAAATAAACACAACTGCACCAACGACAGATACCCCCACACAACCATAAAACACCAGTCGCCACTCCTCAGCCGTACCCTGGTGGGGAAAAAATTCAGATTCTAACTACATTTATCATTTATATCACGAAAATTAAATGTTTCTTTAGAGCGCCTCTAAATATAACAGAGCGTTCTGGATGCAAAAGAAGAAACCATATCAGCTGCCTTTATTAATGGTATTCAGGATACGACTAACAGAGTCTACACACTTACTTGTCACCAAGAGTTACCTGCCCTTATTGCTTGTCCACACTGATATGGTGTTTTTTTTACTTTTGTTGTTTCTAACTTTCTTTGTTTAAGAAAACAAATATCGGAGATATTGGATGACAAGCTTTTGCAATCTTGAGCACTTTATTATTTTTTTTCTCCGTTGGTACAATGTACATAGGTAAAGATCAAACACTGCCAGGGTTATCCAAAAGTGGGAAAATGCCCACCTCGATCTCAAAAGAAGAGATATTAAACATTGACATTATAAAAGTAACGTACCAAAGCCAATAAAGGGAGCATAAAGGTATGGTTTGGTTTGGTTTGATTTTGTTAAAGGTTGAAAAATATTGGATACATCAATACACTACTTTTACTGTCACAAGAATGCCAGCTTTGCAAATCACAGTAGACATTCTTGTTAGTATTCAATTTGAAACTGACTTTTAAACGAATCGTATAATTTACTATACTGTTTGTTGATATTTTATAACCGAAAATATCATATCAGATACCTTTGAAACAATATTTCTTCTCAGCCTATATACGCTGAAATGCCGTAAAAAATATATTTTTCCGTTAAGAAATCTATAACTGCTGGTATAAATTGACAATTTATGTGATTTAGAACCACACAACAATAATAAAAAAAAAATTAACAAAAATGAATTCATCGAACTAAAAAATGTAAAAAAAAAGCAAAAGTACATCAATAAACGAATTGTTTGTAAAAAAAAATATCTTCAGATCAATTGAGCATAAATAATCTGGTACTATTGCACAAGAACTGTATCAAATCAACTTTTCATAAACGGTACATTGTAGAATATATCACTTATCATAGACGGTACATTATAGAATATATCACTTATCATAGACGGCACATTATAGAATATATCACTTATCATAGACGGTACATTATAGAATATATCACTTATCATAGACGGTACATTATAGAATATATCACTTATCATAGACGGCACATTATAGAATATATCACTTATCATAGACGGCACATTAAAGAATATATCACTTATCATAGATGGTACATCATAGAATATATCACTTATCATAGACGGTCCATTATAGAATATATCACTTATCATAGACGGTACATTATAGAATATGTCACTTATCATAGACGGCACATTATAGAATATATCACTTATCATAGACGGCACTTTATAGAATATATCACTTATCAAGGACGGTATATTATAGAATATATCACTCATCATAGACGGTACATTATAGAATATATCACTTATCATAGACGGCACATTAAAGAATATATCACTTATCATAGATGGTACATTATAGAATATATCACTTATCATAGACGGTACATTATAGAATATATCACTTATCATAGACGGTACATTATAGAATATATCACTTATCATAGACGGTACATTATAGAATATATCACTTATCATAGACGGTACATTATAGAATATATCACTTATCATAGACGGTACATTATAGAATATATCACTTATCATAGACGGTACATTATAGAATATATCACTTATCATAGACGGTACATTATAGAATATATCACTTATCATAGACGGTACATTATAGAATATATCACTTATCATAGACGGCACATTATAGAATATATCACTTATCATAGACGGTACATTATAGAATATATCACTTATCATAGACGGTACATTATAGAATATATCACTTATCATAGACGGTACATTATAGAATATATCACTTATCATAGACGGTACATTATAGAATATATCACTTATCATAGACGGTACATTATAGAATATATCACTTATCATAGACGGTACATTATAGAATATATCACTTATCATAGACGGTACATTATAGAATATATCACTTATCATAGACGGTACATTATAGAATATATCACTTATCATAGACGGTACATTATAGAATATATCACTTATCATAGACGGTACATTATAGAATATATCACTTATCATAGACGGTACATTATAGAATATATCACTTATCATAGACGGTACATTATAGAATATATCACTTATCATAGACGGTACATTATAGAATATATCACTTATCATAGACGGTACATTATAGAATATATCACTTATCATAGACGGTACATTATAGAATATATCACTTATCATAGACGGTACATTATAGAATATATCACTTATCATAGACGGTACATTATAGAATATATCACTTATCATAGACGGTACATTATAGAATATATCACTTATCATAGACGGTACATTATAGAATATATCACTTATCATAGACGGTACATTATAGAATATATCACTTATCATAGACGGTACATTATAGAATATATCACTTATCATAGACGGTACATTATAGAATATATCACTTATCATAGACGGTACATTATAGAATATATCACTTATCATAGACGGTACATTATAGAATATATCACTTATCATAGACGGTACATTATAGAATATATCACTTATCATAGACGGTACATTATAGAATATATCACTTATCATAGACGGTACATTATAGAATATATCACTTATCATAGACGGTACATTATAGAATATATCACTTATCATAGACGGTACATTATAGAATATATCACTTATCATAGACGGTACATTATAGAATATATCACTTATCATAGACGGTACATTATAGAATATATCACTTATCATAGACGGTACATTATAGAATATATCACTTATCATAGACGGTACATTATAGAATATATCACTTATCATAGACGGTACATTATAGAATATATCACTTATCATAGACGGTACATTATAGAATATATCACTTATCATAGACGGTACATTATAGAATATATCACTTATCATAGATGGTACATTATAGAATATATCACTTATCATAGACGGTACATTATAGAATATATCACTTATCATAGACGGTACATTATAGAATATATCACTTATCATAGACGGTACATTATAGAATATATCACTTATCATAGACGGTACATTATAGAATATATCACTTATCATAGACGGTACATTATAGAATATATCACTTATCATAGACGGTACATTATAGAATATATCACTTATCATAGACGGTACATTATAGAATATATCACTTATCATAGACGGTACATTATAGAATATATCACTTATCATAGACGGTACATTATAGAATATATCACTTATCATAGACGGTACATTATAGAATATATCACTTATCATAGACGGTACATTATAGAATATATCACTTATCATAGACGGTACATTATAGAATATATCACTTATCATAGACGGTACATTATAGAATATATCACTTATCATAGACGGTACATTATAGAATATATCACTTATCATAGACGGTACATTATAGAATATATCACTTATCATAGACGGTACATTATAGAATATATCACTTATCATAGACGGTACATTATAGAATATATCACTTATCATAGACGGTACATTATAGAATATATCACTTATCATAGACGGTACATTATAGAATATATCACTTATCATAGACGGTACATTATAGAATATATCACTTATCATAGACGGTACATTATAGAATATATCACTTATCATAGACGGTACATTATAGAATATATCACTTATCATAGACGGTACATTATAGAATATATCACTTATCATAGACGGTACATTATAGAATATATCACTCATCATAGACGGTATATTATAGAATATATCACTTATCATAGACGGTACATTATAGAATATATCACTTAACATAGACGGTACATTATAGAATATACCACTTATCATAGACGGCACATTATAGAATATATCACTTATCATAGACGGTACATTATATATATATCACTTATCATAGACGGCACATTATAGAATATATAACTTATCATAGACGGTACATTATAGAATATATCACTTATCATAGACGGCACTTTATAGAATATATCACTTATCAAGGACGGTATATTATAGAATATATCACTCATCATAGACGGTACATTATAGAATATATCACTTATCATAGACGGCACATTAAAGAATATATCACTTATCATAGATGGTACATTATAGAATATATCACTTATCATAGACGGTACATTATAGAATATATCACTTATCATAGACGGTACATTATAGAATATATCACTTATCATAGACGGTACATTATAGAATATATCACTTATTATAGACGGCACATTATAGAACATATCACTTATCATAGACGGCACATTATAGAATATATCACTTATCAACTTAAAATTAACGCACTCAATCATAAAATATTTGACTGAAAACTGTTCCTTTGCGGTTTTCCTTTACATATTTTTAATTAGCCAGACTAGAGTTGATTTTATGGACATTCACATTTGTTTTTTATTTATTTATTTGTTTGTTTTATTTGAAAATGAAAACGAAATACAACTGACGCAAAAGCCGTTATAATGTTTTCTTGCACAATATTTGCCAAGACCAGAACTCGTGATCACGAAACAATATAGGACTTAAGTTTTTGCTAAGCCAATCAAATATGACGTCATTTTTCCTGATGCTATCTGCGATTTGTCAAGACAACACTTAAGACAGTTTTAGGCTTTAAATCATGTCATGACCTCGGGGCCAGGATTCTTGATGGAAGAACACTGCCAATTCTGACAGTACAGGTTACCGTCTATCATGTGTCTATGACTCTCAGGAGGTCTTTGGTAATTAAACCTGGCTTCCTACTGAGGAAGGTCATAGTCGTGGTCGAAATATTTAGGGAATAACTCATATGAAGGGAACATAGCTGCAACTTCCATCACAATAATAAAACTTGCATGTTTGCGGCGAAAGTTATCCACTATGCATAAACTTGACGAAAACAAACCTAGTTTTGAAATATATACTCACGTTTGGTGTGATTGCTGTTATCAAAATGGGGACAAATATTGATATAAAACCGTTCAGACACATGCATATTCCATTTAACAGCCCGGCGAATCTGCAATGACCAAACCCATCATACCCAGTATACATACAAGTACGTAGTACATATTATGAAATCTTACACGCAGCGTTCAAGGTAGAAATATCCAGGCGGGGATAAAATTACCCGTATGAGTCAAAAACAGACATTTACCCATTTGACTAATAATTCGATTTGCATGTTACATTTAATAAATACGATGTGGTCCCATTATTTACATTGTCTTTTTCAGTGTTTTGTTAATAAAAGGTTCATTTTACACAAAAAAATAACCTTTAGATTACATCATATCCAATTGTTTGTTAATTTGGTTGGGTTTTTTTAACATTTCTTCAAACATATGATACTAAAATTACTATTCAAGAAGAGCCACAGTGTTTGATTAATGCAACTCAATTTCAATTGGTCATCTTTTCTTTTTATGATAAAACTCCTTAATTATACCTTACGATTTGATGTCATTCATTTCTGCTTTCATTATGATAAGAAGTTGTACACACACAAAAAAGGCTATGAATCTGATGTTTTAACTTCCAATTTAAAGATAAGTTACAATCATTAATCTCAAAAATCTGCAAGATTTAATAAATTAATAAGCAGTTCGTAACAGATATTTTGGAGCAATTATATTTGATGTTAGAAATATTATTTCACAGGAACCGACACAGGGCTAAGTAATTGTCAACTCACACCATTAGTTATTTATAAGTGTTTGAAATGGAAACAGAATAGAAATAACATAAAGAGATATATCATTGCAAATGTCAATTTCTGATTACCTTGGGGCGATATCAGCAAAGTTTACTCGAAAGCCGGAGTTCATTGCCGTTACAATGAACCAATAGACAACCAGTAGGACCACTGCTAGAACTGCGTCATCCTTTCCAAGATACGATATCCATATAAGGAAGGGTGCAGCACCGACCAATCCTTCAGAACATAAAGCAAGTGATTTCTAAGTAAACATAATAAATAATGAAGAAATTAAGACACCTTTTACATGGTATATTCCAATAGGGAGTTAACCGAGACAAGTTATCTATTTATATTAATCATGTTTGAACGTCCTCCCGACAGCCAATACAAGGTCATATGAATAGGGCATACGGATGACAAGAAGACCCTTCTTCAAATATAGATTGCAATAGAACGAAAGAACAGGCTTGTGAGATAAAAAGGAAAAACTATGATATTATGGGGACAACAGATACATGTTGGTCTGTTCAAAAACCTTTTCAGTAGAAGATAGGAAGAAAACCATGAGTCTTCGGAGTACAAGATGTTGTTTAATCAATTCGACTCGAATATGGACTTATAGAAATAGAATAATACACTTTAAAACCTACAACTCTATATCTAAGGTAAGTGCCTGTTGTTATAATGGTGGCCAGTTTCTAAACACATTTTAACACCCATACATAGGTCTGTACTGGCATTTGTAGACATTGATACTTTTCCGGAAAACGACAATCGGGAGATAAGTAAACAGACATTTCCTACACCAGGGGGTAAATAGCTTTAAACATATATATACTATGTCTGTGTAAGTGTAGTGTATCTCCTAAACTAAACTATTCTTCGAGGTTTTGTTGCTCCCCTACAATGTGTAACGCATTGCATATTGAGAGTTTGGGTCATACAGAAATGTAAAGGGCGAAACAACGCTATAACTAGACTTCACAAAAAGTAAAACATCTTTTTTTAATATGAGGACAAAAAAGGTTAAAATGCATTAAAGATACATGTAGTTATATGTTTGGGGATTGTTTTACAGCCCATCGACAATTTAAGTCATCAAGGGCCAAACAACACGATGAAAATAAACAGTAGCGCTTTCAATCAAAATATAACATTAATCGTAAAATGTAAGCGTGAGAGATGTAGATTTGGCCCTGTGTACGCTTGATTGGACAACTTTTTTTCCTTTGTTTTGCTGTACTTGGCTTGCTTTTGTTTAGCAGAGAAAAACAATTAAAAGCTGAGATATTTAATTTGACTTGCCTCCACGTGTGTAATGTATGCGTATGCTTGGATGTGTGCTGGAGGAGGATTTTCTTCCTTGCGATCGTGATACCTCACTGAAATACCATGGTGAGGGCATCCAGCATAGTATTACATTCAGTCTTATTGTACTGACTAAAGGTTTATCATTTATTGAATTACCCAAAATGCTGTAGGCAGGAAGTACAACTACTATTTTAAAGACTACAGTATGTCACTGTCTGACACAGCCAACATTCTTTACTTAAGTCAACACAAATATGCCGTTGTATAGAATGGCACTAGGATATATAAAGGTTGATAGGAAGGGTAGAGGGGAAACATTATAGTTGCTTAAGCTGCACACATATGGTATTATTGGGTAAACGTCAGAAAGAATATGTTTTGCAAAAAAAATGTTTCTGCGATTTCTCCCTTACTTTAGACCCATCGGTAATATACAAAATTTCTCGTAATTATATAAAACAAATAGTTACTACGAGCTACCTTATTGTGGTTGTATTTCCTACTTCCTTATATATTTCTTTGTTTAAAAAACTCAACAAAATGCCGTGGTTTCCAAATGTCTTTTAAGCTCAATGGTCAACGATCGCCTTTAACAAACGTAAACAAATAGAAGTTTTGCGCGGAGAAAAACAATGAACCTTATTCTTACTACGTAGAATAAATATATTTAAAATATTCCTATCGTCATTGGCTTTTCCATGTGCACATTTACACCTGAAATGGTGTTGCTATTCTCACAATATTTTTTCCGTAACTTTGTATTGATATGTTTTTGACGGTATATTTTCTTACGCGGATCACTTTTGTGTGGACACTATTCCGGTTCCTTACGTCATCTGGGGCGAGCAGTCGTTGTTTTTTGAGAAAATACGTTCCCAAGTGCTTGGGAATGGGAAAATCCGTTCTCAAGGTCTTCTCAAGTTGTTCTCAAGTCGTTCTAAACTTCTTCTCATACTGACAACCAATGATAATGAATTATCATACTACCGCTAGGTGGTATAGAGTAGTATAAAGATGATAAATGCAGTTATTCACTTGTAATGACCATAGGTGTGGCTTACACACGTGTCACTTACCTTTGGGTGTTCCTTTTGACTTCCAAAGTATCGCTCAAAATACTTATAAAAACAAATGGTTACTTTATGGTGTGCATGTATTAAAGAGCCAAACAGATTTCCCATACTGCCATGTTAGCAAACCGACTAAGGGGAGGTTAGGACATATGTATTGTTTGTAATTGAGAATGATGATATTGCTAACTTCCATAATACCGGTTAAAATTCTACCTAGAAAATGTCTGTGAGACATGAATGCCCCTGCCGCCATGTGAGATTAGTTAAGTGTTTGATGTTCTATAAATAGTTTTTAAGTGTTTAGATTGAATCGGTACGGGACGGGATGGGAAGGAACGCAACAGGACGCGACGGGACGGCACGGAACGCAACAGGACGCGACGGGACGGCACGGAACGCAACAGGACGCGACGGGACGGCACGGAACGCAACAGGACGCGACGGGACGGGATGGATATTGGCTACACGTTATGCTCCCAATTTTATGTCGGGGGCATAACCAATGGTGATGTTATGTTGTATGTGTATGAGAGAGGCACCCCTATTTCCGTCTTGCCATATTGACATTTTCCCATTACACGACCACCGGGAAGTTAGCCAACAGGAAGTACCTACAGCGTGTGGTATTGAACATTGAGATGGTATGTTATGTGTCCATAAAAGGGATTGGTTTGTTTGAATGTTTGTTGTTTTGTTTGTTTGGGGTTTAATGTCCTCGTAACAGTCAGTGTCATTTGAGGATGGGTACCGCAAATTCCTAAGATAAACTACTATTTTTGTGGTTTGCTTCCTATCCTTCTACGTAAATCAATTTCCGGCATCAGGTTCAATTCACTTGTGCCATATACCATCCTGATCGTATTGTTGCTAATTAACACCTATGTTGATGTTATCACACGTCCTGATCTGTTAGATATGTCCAGGAAACATGACATTTCGTACCTGTTACCTGAAACACCTTCCTCACATTTGTAATGGATATCAATTTCTTCGAGTACAACCAGTCAGCTAGATAACCGAACATAATGGAACCAAATATCCGCCCGATGAACGGAAGGGAGGAAACAAGACCATTCTAGAAATAGAATTATATAACACTGTTAGTGAACTACTGTAGTATGGTTACTGTATACCGGGGAAATTCGCTGCAGTTTAGATTTCGCCTTTGACGTCCGCCATGATAAGGGCGAATTATCATTACAGCGGAAATCAGTATACGACATAATTTAACTAGTAATGAAATGTGAAGAGTGAAATAAACACTAGGCGAAATTTGAGTTCATGGGCTAAGGAAGAGTTTGGCTGGGCGAAAACGTCCCGTTATAGGTATCAATTGCAACAACATATTTTTGATGTTAGTCACATGAAACAAATGCTACCAAATGAGGTAAATAAAAGCACCTAAAACGTTTGAATATATATGAAACGTTTTGTTTATTTGCTGTGTGAACAACAATAAATGCCAACGCAAATGTCATACGGTAACGATTAAACTGCAACATCTGGACGATAAAATTTTCAATGAAGTAAATAGCGGTTGACGTACCATTGTCGGATCAAGCTCCAACACCTGTTCGAAATACAACGGTAGACAGATGGCAAGAGTGATAAAGAGAATTCCATAGGTGAGGAACCCCAGCACGCAACCCCACACAGCCTTTGACGCAATCAACTGCACCCACGGTATACGCAATGCCTTTCAAAACGAAATAATTTACAAGTGCTTGATTATGATGAGCAAATATCTTGGAACTTCTAGTATTTTAGATAGATTTCTAAAGAAAAAACTCAATACATGTTATGTAGTTATAACAAAAATGTATATAAATGAAGATGTTGACTAAAGAGGCATTGCATTTGTTGGAAACAATAGAGAAAACTTTTTGAGAGATCAAATTAGCGGAAAAAGACTAGTTAGACTTATCAAGAACTTCCGATTTACTGAGAGTCCAATGAACCCGACAGTTACGCTGGATAGGTTCAGTCACACAGGTTTGTTTGTTTGTCAGGGGTTTAATGTTTATTGTTATAAGATTCTTAACGGCCCGTCAACAAAAAGAGGCATTGGGGCCAATACAAAGTAGATAAAGATATAAAAGGAAATGACACCAACAGAACGAAAAGATAAAAAGACAAACGGGAACTGGAAAAGTAACAGCGGTTATGGCTAGGTTTATACTTTTAAACAGATCAACGATTTTAGGTAGTTTAGAACTTTTGACATATTTAATGTTTCGAAAAGGGAATCGTTGGATCGGCTATATGACTATATCTTTTGTTCCCTTATTGGTTGCAGGTAATTGCAATCTAATAACAAGTGTTTTACTGTAAATATTTCGTGACATGCTATTCATTGAGGCTGGTCTTCACATTTTAATAAATAAGAATAGGTAATGTATGAATGACCAATCTGGATACGAGCAATGACAACCTCGTCTCAGCGGATCGATGTGTCACGTCCTCACAAGAACCAGTGTAATATGATGGCGGGTGCCTAGGGAGACACTACTGAACAGTGAACGTACGTAGGGCAGAAAGAAAAAGGACAAGAACGAACAGGATCCCAAGTGTTGCAAGGGGGCAGCAATTCAATGTTGGTCTCCACCATATCCCCTTACAAGGGTCCCCATGAGTCGCCTTTTACGATTCACTTATATTGGAATACAGCAGGCCTTTTCCTTTTTTTGAACACGGGTTAAAGATTTTCTTAAATGACCTTAGCTGTTTATAGACCAAAAAACCTGTATCTACCAAACTGCTACCAAGTATTTTCATGTGATATTTCAGACAGTTCGTTTTGTTTATTGCGCGGTTTTTCTTTCTTCTTTTCACATGTAAGAAATCTGAAAGGAATGCTTGAAATACATTTTCAAACGAACTTACAATCCAGTAATAATATCAGCCATATTCGTATACGTATGTCGGCGTAGGTGGTGTGCAAGATAACACCGGTGTGTTTAAGCTTTTGGGCCTGCCCCTGTATCATTAAGTTTTACTTACACTGCTAAACGATTGTAACCGTAAAAAGGACGCTCACACCAGCAAACAAAAAATGAAAGGGTTATTACAAATATGATGGTTATTGTCGATAGGGCTCGCAAAATAATGCTTACAACAAACTATTGTATTCGTATCCAATTAACAACATGCGGGGAAAACCACGTATGAGTAAAGAGAAGAAAAGTAGGTCGGGCGCCCGAATAGAATATGGAGAGCAAAACTGTTTAGGAAATTCTCTTCATGCATATACAGTGTGTTTTGTTTTATCTGTCTATTCTTTGATGTTCATCTTAAAAAGAAATCAACAAAAGAACTTAATGTAACCACCTTTTACTTATCATTGCTAATTGCTTCCATGTACAAGACGCCACACATGTTGGAACTAATAAAAAAAAATGGATGCTTTTAGCATTGCTCCTTATTTCTATACTTCAGTATCAAAAAGAGAAAGTAATCATCAATATATACATTAAACCGATTGTAGAGAAGGATTTTTTTATGTCTTTGATGACCGTATTTTCAGCTTAACTAAGATCTTTATATGATGAACATTGGGGCAGTGATGATGTTGATGTCCCTTGTATTTTAAGACTGTAAGTTGTAAGCTGTAAGTTAAGTTGTACTAGATAAAATGTAGAAAAAGCGTGTAAACAGTATGTCCAGTTTCGATTTCTATATTTACCTATAAATTGGCAGCATAACAATCAAAACTAAAAAGTGACATCTGACATCAATAGTTCGTGGAAACACTTTGAGAGGAAGATTGTTGAAACGGTCTTCACACATAAAGGCAGCTATTCTAAATTTTATAAGAGACATTCTCGAAATTGATTGCTTCTGTCTTTTCATTTCCACGTAGCTTCGTTGCTGAGGCCTTTTTATTTGAAGTGTCAATATATCAATCTAAGCCACATGTTTTACGCGTGGGATTAATCTTCGTTCACCAGAATCATTCTCAGTAAACTATCTACTCGTTAGCATATTCTTATAGCTTGAAGAGCAATGTAGAAATGTCGCACAACCAAAATACTCATTACATACGGACTGGGGCTATTACATTATTGCAATGATAACTTCAGCTTAGGTTCAAGAGATAGTGTTACATGTAAAACCAAACATGCAATATTTATCACTTACAGTCAATGCGACACACACAAGGTTATCATTTCTCAATAATTGTTTGTGATGATTTACTTAACAATTTTGTTTACATTTGTACACAAAACTGATATATTTTTTTGTTATACTTACCTTATCAAGTACAACTGGAGCCTTGTGTAAGTTAATGTAATCTCGTTCTGACGCGGTTATCCTTGGGTGGATATTTGGAGTATCATAAACCAACAAAGCCCAAAATATCAGTACCAACACATTCAGTCCTCCTGTTAAAAAAAACACAATAGCAGGACCAACACATTCAGTCCTTGTGTTAAAAACAAAAACTATAGCAGTACAAACAAATTCAGACCACCTGTTAAAACCAAAACCAAAACAGCAGTGCTAACACATTCAGTCCACCTGTTTAAAAGCCCACAATACCAGTACCAACGCTGTAAGTTCACCTGTTCAAACAAAACCCACAACAGCAGTGCCATATAAAGTCCACCTGGTAAAAAAACAAAATAGCAGTACCAACACTGTAAGTCCACCTGGTAAAACAAAACCCACAATAGTAGTACCAACATTGTAAGTCCACCTGGTAAAACAAAACCCACAATAGTACTACAAACGCTGTAAGTCCACCTGGTAAAACAAAACCCACAATAGTACTACCAACACTGTAAGTTCACCTGGTAAAACAAAACCCACAATAGTACTACCAATACTGTAAGTCCACCTGGTAAAAAAAAAAACAATAGTTGTACCAACGCTGTAAGTCCACCTGGTAAAACAAACCCCACAATAGTAGTACCAACGCTGTAAGTCCACCTGGTAAAACAAAACCCAACAATAGTAGTACCAACACTGTAAGTTCACCTGATAAAACAAAACCCAACAATAGTAGTACCAACCCTGTAAGTTCACCTGGTAAAACAAAACCCCACAATAGTAGTACCATCACTGTAAGTCCACCTGGTAAAACAAAACCCTACAATAGTAGTACCAACACTGTAAGTCCACCTGGTAAAACAAAACCCCACAATAGTAGTACCAATACTGTAAGTCCACCTGGTAAAACAAAACCCACAATAGTACTACCAACGCTGTAAGTCCACCTGGTAAAACAAAACCCACAATAGTAGTACCAACGCTGTAAGTCCACCTGGTAAAACAAAACCCCGCAAAAACAGTGTTCTGTTTCTTTAAGTTACTTCTGTGTAGTAAACACATAATATTTGATTTGAATCCTACATTGTAGATAATGTCAGTTCTGTAAACGACTTCTTCAGATCCAGAGATGCAACATATTTACCCTAAAATAGTATACACAAAGCTGATATGTCACTACTATTTGTACTTGTAAGATGGAAATGGCCAACCTTTGGGTACATTATTTGTGGCAAAAACTGACACAATTGAACCAAAATTGTGTTCCCACAAACTAGCTCCCATGTTTAATAGTATGTAATTGTATAAACAATATATATTTTAAAAAGTTGACTGATCACCTTAAACAAGTTTCTCATCTTTTATTTCTTGATTCTAGATCAGGAAATGAAAATGGTCTGAAGCTATCTTGGATATACAACATGCAGTGGACAATGTCAGTATTCTTCAAAAGGTCAGGAAACGTTTCACAGCTACTTACCAAACACGAAGAAAATGAACGGCCAGCCTCCAAGAATTGGTATAGCGCAAAGCAATCCCGCAAGGATATAGTTGGCCATTCCTCCAAAGCTCCGAGCTAAGTAAATGAAAAGCAATGGATTCATTTATATTATTATTTGTATATAACGTTTTGAATAATAAATAGGGTTTATTTTGCAGAGCGATTTCTTCAATTCCAACAGCAAAAGGCAGCAATAAAGGGCTTCAATATGTCTGTTACTGAATTTGGACAATTGAGTAGAATGATCGACGGAACATTATGCGACAGACAACTGTTTTACCACACTAGAACCTGAGCTGACAAGAACCCATCCACAAGCGTAAAACATTTTGATGATTTTGACATATAGAGCAATTTGATACTGTTTTTGTGATTCGTTGAATGGATTGTACGCACCTGCCTCTCTCTTTCAACAGTAAAATAAACTTTTTAAGATTTCCAAATGTTTAACCTCTTGCATCACTAATGAGTCCTAGAAGGACCAAACAGCTGTATGATGCAGTGTAATTCGTTTTTTGTTTTACTGTATATTTTACCAAATTTTAAGGATGCAATGACAAGTGAGTGCGTTACGTTCAGTTTCTATTGTCATTAGAAATATTAAAAAATAATTGTCAACGAAACCTTAATTAAATGTAACACATTTTTGTTTTAGATATATACCTGTTTCTGTAAGAACCATCATTTGCGCTCGTTCTTCAAGTGGCGCCCAGTTGGACATCAGCTGAGTCGCACATGGTTCCAAACCCGACTTTACGTAAAATACAAAAAATGATATCGTGTCATTTCAATGTACTCGTCTTCACAAAAGACAGCAAAGCAATAAAAAGTGAGTTGGAGCAGGTAAGATCTACCAGCGCATATCAGAGAGTGCCACTAACACCTTTGTAGTCGTAGTTAAAAGTAATGAACTTGGCAGATATTTTATCGTGAATCAATCTTGAAATAAAATCGGGAAAAATCAAAAGAGGCAAAAAAGTTTGATGAACAAAATTATATGTTGTATGCAATTCAAACTAGTATGGCTTCATATGCAACAAATAGAGTTGACCGCAGAGAGGAAATTGTCCTTCGCGACATCGCATTGGCACTATCATTACATGCTTATGAATCATTTATGCATGTAACTTTTCTTCACATTTATGAATAAATTTGGCGATTTCAAATATTTTGTACAACACAGTTTATAATATAGCGACTATGAATAATGTGATACTACATGTTTTATTACTACATTCTTAACGGCCCATCAAAACAGAAGTGGTCATTAGGTTAACAGCAATGTAAATAAAACATGACAAAATATCACCTCTGATAGAGATTTGTTGTCATTTGTATAGAGTTATGTATATTTTTACGATAATATATGTGATATAATGAACAACATTTTCGTTTGTTGCTGTTGATATTGGTTGCAATTTTAACCTGTAGACATTTTAAGACAAATTTGATGTATTTCTAACTGACTAAAAATGTCAATTTCCAGTAAAAAAAATTACTATACAGCATCCAAGTTTGTACAGTAATATTTAAATAAACGTACCGTTGCCATGCCTACAATTATTCGCAGAGCAAGAACAATGTAATCACTGACAAAAACGAATCCTGGTGTGATTGCTGTCGATACAGCCATAATTAGCACCATGCTTGCAATAATATATTTGCCACTGTATCGCCCGGACATTGTTCCAAGGATAAGAGCCGTTGCCACCTGGCCAATGTAGTTACCGGAAATGAGGAGGCCTTCCATGGTACTGTCCCATTGGACGTAATATTTCTGGAATTAGTCGATTTATGTATGTAAATATATGTAATATAAATAACATGTACTGCTTGGTCACTCGACATAAACGTCTTAAAAAACATTGTACTAAAAAAAGTATCATCTTCGGAATTAATTAGAAAATGTAGGGCTTTTTTTTTAATTTAAAACTTATTTTTCTCCATGCTGCCGAATTTGCCTCAGAATCTTATATTAGGATATATGCTGTTGTAATGTATCTATTGCAGTTATTTCCTCACATGCAGGCAGGACATGGGTATCCCATGGAGAATTGTATCAAGCATGAGACGTGTTTTACCACACTCAATGACCCCTTATTAGGAACTTAAAAAACAAGTAGTAAGTGCTAGCAGGTTTACGTCGAAATGTTCAATAATACGAAACCTAATATTGAATTCTCATTTTGATCTGTGGAAGAAATAATTGCAAAAGCACACAGGGAAACAGTTCTCATACATATTAACATATATCATACAGGATTTCTATTAAATTTCGCCATTCGATTCCTGCATAGTTTTTTTCCATAAACAGAGACAAATACATAAAACTGAAGGTACATCCATATTCTCCACATCCCCACTTATATCTTGTAAACAATACATGTGACTACGGACGGACGTTTCCATCCAAGAAGAGTACTTTTGATTCAAACATTTCTGGGTCTGAAGAAGACAATTTTTGGCCCCGCCCCTTATGCCATTTTGGGGTTTGATCAATACAACTCGCAAATTTGATATGCCTTTGACTATGGAACCTTCCTACATGAAACAAGTTAATTGTTCACTGCAGTCGACAGCAAAAGCACGATCGCAAAAGGTCGAATGATACCTTATGATACAGCCGACAAGTCATTTAAATTAAATTCAATGTTTACTCTGTAACCAAAATTATTACCCTCATGAAGTGGTACTGTCAGCGGGCAGGATATGAAAAAAAAATCTGTAGAATAGGTCATATATTCATATAGAAATGTATTTTATTGATATAACTTTCCACCAAAACCCCCAGATTTGAAAGCATTAATATGTGATTTCTCCTTCTTGCAAATATATTTAAAAGCTTTCTTCTACTGTAACACCTGTGCCCTGTAGATACTACGTACCACAGACCGAACACGTACAAACGTCTCTGTCATGGTACGCTGACCAATTCAATTGATGCTGGGGTGTGATATCAAATATTGTCTGCTAGAAGAGGTGTGTAAATGGGTATTTTTCGGGGGAGGGGGTGTAATGCACATTAATAAAAATATAAAAACAAATATGATCGCACTTACCAAATTACTATCGGCAACTGTGACAATTGTTCCGTTGACGACTGCAAATGTTGTTATATTTGGGGGAGTCATACAAACGACGACCATGCTCATGTTCATGCGCATTAGCATGGTACATGCCATTGTTAAGCAAGTGACGTATCCAACGTGCCATCTGCAGGAAGTTAGTCGTTCCTTCAATGTAACTTCGTGCACTTTCTTCTTCCTGTCAACGACCAGAGGAACTCTCTCTGTGGGATAACAAATAGTTTTCCATTTAACGATCACCGTACCACTACCAAACTGTCTTTTTTTCTGTATGAATATAGTTTTGATAAATCATATCTGATGCGAAACCTTATGCGGCTTTTATGTTAAATAACAAGGATGACATAAACGATATAAATTCAATACTAGTGTTTTGAGTTTAAACATTAAGCGGGGCTAGACGGGGATCCGAACACCGGACGTTATACTATCGCTCTTACCGATTGAGGTACATGGTCATTGGAAGTGTTCTGCCGACGCTTTTCTACAGTTATATCCGACCGGAAGTTAAGGGGAGGTTACTGTATATAATGGAAACATTGTGCAGTCCGACAGGGATCCCTAAGCACGTTAAACACTTATATGTTATAAATAGTAGTGGTTCAGTAGTATTTTGCTCTCTGAGTTTGCATAAAAATCTAATCTATTCGGTAGATCAACGATGGACTGAGAAATGCAGAAATTTAAATTCCTTTGATTCTCATTTTAAGAAGCCAAATCTATAGTTCTTCTAACTTCATTTTTGTTCTGGATTCGATGGGTCTACGCAATATGTTTTGCCCAAGTTATTTACGATATTTGGTACGTTAAAGTTGCTGCGTTACGAACATTACACAAACTTATGTACGTCTTTAAAACACTTAAACTGTTTTAAAATATGATGTCATACATAACTTTCATCAAACCTGAATGATAGCTCTTGTCATTCCCTTATCATAAGCAATACCGAAAGCGCGGTCAATGCCTTTCCTTCACTTTAAGGAAGAAGACAGGATGATATATCATCTGTTGACGTATTTCAGTGAGGTAACACATTAAAGTCAGCGTTATATCCGCAATATCGTAAAAATGCAAATACGTCAATACTGCCTCCAACACACACAGACACACATAAATTAAACACACGGAGGCACGTCATTCAATTACCTACTGCACACGCCATAGCCGTTACGAACAATCCACGAATCACGAGGATTTAAAGTGGGGCGTATCCTGGATGACCCAATCACCGGATGTGTTGATGGTAGACCAATTACGGGTTACGATAATGCCGTTACCAAGATCCCTGATGGGGATTTCGGGTGATAGGACATGGTGATTAAACGCCTAAACGAATTCCTAAATGCGAGGACATCGCGGCTTATTCGTAAAGGTTATGATGTGTACAGTAAGCTACCAGTTAATTTAATCACTGAATTGGTCCTTCATATACTTTGTGAACGGACTTTGTCATCGTGAAATATCTAAACAAAGCATATTTTCGATTTCAAAGTGTAAGTAAAAGTAATGTGGATTTTAACATACGGGGTCGTGGTCGAATCATACGCATTCATAATGCTGTTTAAGTCAGACCTCGTTACACTGTTATAATTGCACTATAATACAATGTTATACTGCTATTATTGATATTGTAAGGATAAAATTTCGTTACAATGCCACAATGGTGAAGCTGAATGGTGCAGTATAAACTATTTTGACATATTGGAAACCTGACCAGGTTGATAGGTAGATTACATACCAGTACTCGTTTTTTGTTCATATTAATACCCGTCCTTACGGAAATTAATGTATCATAATACATTACCCACATGGAGGCACGATCCGATCGGCGCTGTAAATAAAACACTAATTCAATGCACCAAACATTTTAGCTAATCTAGTCAACCTTGCAGGTTTCAGCATATTTTTGATGATGTTAATCCCAAAACATTGCCTTAAATATACGCATTTGTCTAACTAAGACAATGCATTGACTCACCAATATTTGTTGACATCCTCATTCGAAACTTGAACGATCACCCACGAATCTTAAATGTATGCATAGTCAGTCTGTAGATTGCTTTTCTGTTTACGTGGGAAGTGTCTCTTAATAATCAGTCTGTATCCATACTCGTACATATGTAACCTCCTTGTCAGAGTTTTTGTCAATGTCACATGGTATCTTTATCATGCGACACACTATCCTGTCCAGGGAAAGAATACATAATGAATATTATATATCCCACTGAAACGTACCTTAAGAGGCGACTAATATGGTCTCCCTCTCCTGCAGAACTCCGTTTAACGGGTTAACATCTGTGGTTTCAGAAGAAATAAGAATGAATATGTGACCCCCACCCATTGGAACACATGGAATATAATCCTTGTCTGTCTATCTAGGCATCAGCTGTCATATGACAATAAGAGATCCTAGAGGGACTTGGCGCCCACCATCTTCATTCGTTCTTTGTCAGTTCGATCTATCTCTTCTTTTCTCTTATTTGTTTGATTTAGTCATGTAAACAGTAAATGCACGTTAAGGTAACCTTTTTGTTTATTCCATCAAAAAAGTAAACATGCACAAAGAAGGACCAGGGAAAACTTACGGAACAAATTTCAGAAAGAACTTTCCAGTATTTCCCGAGAAATAGCGAAATTTTCTTATCCAAACCATCTCAAAACTCAAAACTGAACATACTTAATAAGAAACTAAGAGGAACCTTCATATGAAATTTGAGAAAAATCCCCTGGGTACTTCCTGAGAAATAGCGATAACAAACATTCAATGTCAAAATCTAAGATGGCCGCCTTTCGACCATTTTGTTTTCCCGAGCCATCTAGCAATTTAACACGCTCAATAATAATCTAACCGGAACCTACGTATGAAAGTTAAGAAAGAACACTCAAGTCCTTCCTGAGAAATAGCGATAACAGACATTCACTGTCAAAATCCAAGATGGCCTCCTGTCGGCCATTTTGTTAATCCAATCAGTCTTAAAAGTAAACATGCACAAGAAGGGATCAAGAGAAAACTAAATATCATAATATAGAAAGATCCCTCCAGTACTTTCTGAGAAATAGCGATTACAAGAATTGTGTAAGGACAGTTTCAATAGCCCACCATCTGATGTTGGCGGGCGTCTTCTTTAGCCTCTTTCTTCGCGAGCCAACATACAATTTGACTTTTTCGACCGAAATAAAATCGATGTTTAGTATGGCATCATAGCACTAACGGTCGATTTTTTTCTTATTACACTACATGGCGTTAGTCTACACTATCAAATGACCAAACAATAAACGGACCCAGAACAGAGGTATAGATAAATGCGTTTTGTACGGGATGTTAATATTATAATGACATGAGAATTAACTTTGACACGTGTTTGACTAGTACGACATAAATTATGCGCAATGAAAACCATCGCCTGATTTCAGTACAAGCTGTTCTTGAGTACTTTAATATATGTCTACTCAGGAAATCATTCGTGCCAGTTTATAAATTGTAAATGGCTACCAGGGCAAACGATAATACATATTGTATAGCTGCCGGCACTTATGGATGACTACGGATGATCGATAGACCGAGCTAAAAAAACAACGAGGATGCCAAAGTCCATAGGTTGGTTTTTATCTTTATTGATTGATTTCTATTGTGGTCAATATGTCATATTTCACGAGACTTTACACTCTCTTATGATGGCGAATTGATTAGTCCTCAAAGATATTACTATTTTAAACCATTGAAATACAAATATCTGTTCTCTGTACATTTGTCGAAAGCGCCTTTCTAAATTGCGATCTTTCAGACACTATATAAAGTTAACATCAAATCGTTAATTAAATACGCTTCAAATACTTACGAATTATTATGTATTTCCGAACCACTCTGTAATATAATTATCTTTACATTCTCTTGAAGAAAATGACATCAAAAACACGAAAAAGGAAAACAAAAAACAGACAAAGTCAATTCTAGTATTACATTGTATTAGTGGCTCTGAAAATTTATATCTTTTGCAACAGTTCACCAGTTTTCGGGTAATCTAGAATTATAGAGCTATTAAAGGTTTCAAAAACAGATTTCAGACTTATGTATTACTGATTGTAATTTCCAATCAGACGCGAATATTATTATACTCTGTGTTTTATCATATAACAGATAAAGGTACAATTTTGTCATGGTAACAGACGGGTGGGTTATGATAAAACAGACATGCTACTTTGTCAAAAGTAGATCTCAGTTAAAGTTCAAAACGCTTCCCACGGTGCGAAAGGGGGAAATTACGCGTGAAAACAATATAAGGTAATCAGATTGAAATAATTTCGTACATGCACACAGAGGATTCAAACACCTTTTTGCCTTGATATAATTAGTTTACGTAATGAGTTCGTTTTACATAGTGATATTGATATATGCCAGTTTCGCACCGAGGCTTAAACAAGACTTTTTTATTTGTTCAAATTTCTACCTAAAGAATGATTGTTTAACTTGCCTTCCCGTTCATTTGCCATATATCTTTTTCTTAAACATATATCAGGGGCTGCTTTCTCTCTATCTTTTTTATCAATGATTCCTTTTTATACCTTCATTTCTTATTAGATATTGCCAAATCCCTGTATAACGCTAACAGTTATGTAGACAAATAGTGGAAGTGCAGAATTTCAGGATTTGTTTAAAACGATTTAACGTCCTGTCAAGAATTTCAGCAGATTATAAAACATATAAAATATCACAAATGTTAACCACCTTGATGTTTATTAATTACAAAATCTTACGTTATTTAGAGAATATACCCCTTCTGGACGACCAAAAGAAGAAACAGTACACCTTCACGCTTTGGCAGAAATATACATCATGTCGATGGCAAGTAGGAATCACCGCCGCACTCGCAATGTCCTGTTCCATACTTCTCAGACTCAATATGACAATGGTGGTGGTCTGCATGACACCTGGAAACCTGACACTAGCCGTATCACAAAATGGGACAGAAATCACCATACGTGACCCATACTTGGTAAGTGTATAGTCACTACGATTGGTCATCCTTTTTTACTGTCATCCCGTTTAAATCAAGCATGTGTTTTCACGTTATGCGGCCAGAATTTCCTTTGCCTTTCTGAAAGTTTAAATATTGCTAAATAAGATATTAAATTATCTAAACGTATATAACAGATAAAGGAAAAAAGTATATACCAAAAAAATCATATATATTCACATGTTCAAAAAAAGGCATCTTTTTAACAGTCTGTCATTTTCGTTTAGATAAAGCCGGTCAAATAGCAAGGATACACGTAGGCGGTCAGATCATCAAATTCTACAAAATTCTCTAAAACAGACATTAAGTTGGAAATTGCTATACAAACGAAACCACCAACTATATAACCAAATATGACAAAGGCTTTGTCGATTGATTTATATTATTTTTTGTTATTGATGCTGTTTTGTTAATCTAGAACAACTACGTATATTGGGATAGCACTATTGAGGGACTGCTGATATCAGGGTACTACATTGGTCAGGTGTTCACATCTCTTGTCTTTGGAACCTTTACGGGAAGGATTAGCGGGAGGAAATTTATTTTCTTTCTGACGTCAGCGCTTATTGTGGTATCATTTGTTACACCAGCTTTAACATTCTTCAGCCCCTACCTGGTCCTAGCAACACGAGTTTTGATCGGCATAGCAACGGTGCGTTTTGTCCGGACGAGGTATATTTCAACAAAATGAAAATTCAATATAAAATGAATGATGGTTTATTTTCATAATTATGCATGAACAATTTGTTAGCCTTGACTTCAGAAATCCAGTATCAACATTTTATATCTAAAACCATCTTTTGTGTAGGTTTTTAACGTCTGCGTAACAGGAATTATCGCAAGCAAATCCTGATTGAATTTTGCGTTTCGTTGGCCGCTCAAACAAATAAAACTCAAACCTTACCCAGTAGCGGTAATATAGACCAAAATGTTTAAGGTTTAAACAAAACAATACTATTACTCTATGTTCTGTATATTTCTATTCGTCTACCTTTGTATCATGTAAGACTTCATTACATTCCAGGGAGGATTAGAACCTTGTGGCACTCAGCTCTTGTCTAATTGGGCCCCTTTACACGAACGGGCTCAGATGATGTCGATAACGGAGCAGGGTAACTATGTTACTGTATTGTACCTTCAAAAATATTTTTAACGATTGAACATTTTCATTCAATATTTTGATATATTGTCCTTATCTCACGTATCGGCTCGGTTTATTGTTCCTGTCTAATGGATGTCTTAACGACGCCAGCGGCACACTGGGGAGTAGCTACTCATTATGTTAAGCATTGTTTGCCATTGGCTTTATGTAATTCTGTGATAAATAAGGGTCTACAAAACGAATATGGTTTTGATTTCCCAGTATCTATCAATTGTCTCAAGTTTTGCAATTTATACACAATTTCACACGGAATGCTAATTAACTTCGGCTTATTCAAATAAAGGAATCTGATTAACAAATAAGTTTCTATTATTTTTATGTAAGTAAATAAACAATTAGTAACTCCATGTTTACGTTATTTTGTTATTGTTTAATATTTGAGAACAACATCCTCTGTATTGTAGTAGATTTTTTGTGGGTTTTTTCGACATTTATCCAACACTTCAGTTTGAAAATTGTATAATCACAGCTTTAATTGTTTTTCACAAAAACTTTATAGTGTAGCAGGAAATTACTTATTTCATATTGTTAATACAACATCACTTTCCATGAAAACATACAGCGATAACGCAGCGTCAACGCAATAACACTTGTCCAACATTTGATTTTAGTATTTCAAAAACTCTCCTTTTGATTCCGAGTGCTTTGTCAAAACAGTACCGAATTTGAGTGAATACGTTACCTACAATTCATACCTGGGTACATTTGCCCTTTGAAAGACTTTTTTATGTAACCTCAGGGTAGTTTGCTAAATCTGGCAAAAGTCGCAGATTTCAATTTACTAATTGGTTCCACAAACAGACGACCGCCAGTCGCAATTTTGATATGAAGATCGTAAAATGGTTTCCAAAACTGGCCAACTTTGTACAAAAACAATGGAGAGACGAACATTTACTGACAAAATAGACTCAACTACATATGATGTTCTGAGTCAATGGTATACAAATTGAGGGGCAGATTTTTTTTTTAGAACGGGTGTGTGACAGTACGTATCAATATGCGGAACAACTGTATCGTAAAACAGTTTAATTTCATTTCTTGTAAAACCGAGATTATTAAATACATCTTTTTCTAACAAAAAATGAAAAGAAATAGGTTTAATAAGAATTGTTATTTCATATAAAAGTTGGTTAAATATCCAACAGATTTGTTATTTGGGCTGTTGCCAATTTTTGAGTAATAATTATTTTTTCTCCACGACATCTTCCAGAAAAAGAAGAAAGCTCTAGTCAATTTTGAGATCAATGTATACGTAACTATCGACACTCAATTTCTGTCTAGGTATGTAGGACACTGTTATCGTGATGATTTTTTATGTCCTACGCATTTTCACGCACGGAAAGGTCATTGCAATCGTCATTACAACCGGATTTTCGTTTTTGGTGCATTGTATCTAACAGTGCAGATGTTTCTGAGAGTTAATAATCTCGATTTATTCCCTCCATTTAACAGTTTGGTTCATGAATTTATATTGGTACGCATTTCTATTAGTTGATACATTTCAGAATTTCTCAGGATTTGGTTTAACATCAGCACATTCTATCATACAGTGCTTGACTCTAAATTGTTGGTCACAGGCGTGACAAAAGGGGCAATTTTCATTTTGTAAAGTGTAAATCTGTATATTGTAGGTATAACCTATGGATAGTCGCAAGGGGGAAATTTCCTCGTGAGGTCGCCTGTAGTTTTTGTGCACTAAGTAATATTAGGTTGAAAACTTATAAATATCTTCCAACCATTATTGTTGGACGCTTGTTTTAATAAAATTTGCTATGGAATGTTTTAAATCAGTTTATCACAAATTCCTTATGATTCAAATATATATAATGCAAATTGAAGACAGATGTTCACCATCCCTGCTGCGTCGTTGAACGGGAACGTTCGAGTGGCTTTTGTAAGAACCATATTGAAACAAACGAAGTACCCAAACGAGATCCAGAAAGAAAATGCATCTCTAAAGTGTTTGCATTTCAGAAACGCAGAAAAATCCAGCATTTTAGCAAATATTTCATTTAAATAGAAACATCTTTTGTTAATAAATCAAGAAAATAATTCAACATTTTTTTGTCATACTACTACGAAAACTAATTGAAAACTCGAATTTCGAACCGTAATCAATTACTATTGGCAGCATACCTGAAATTTCTACACAAGCAATTCGGCAGCCCGATGTAAATTCTATATAATTACTTAATGCAAATAATTCTTACAATTTAAGTTCGTGCTTGCGACGAACTATTTACAGTCAAACATGTTAAGGTTGATTGCTTAACTTGGTCATTGACAATTTGCATGTACCAACTAAGAAAGCTGGTGTGTTGCGGCTCCTGTGCTGTTAATATATGATAATTTACAATCATTTAATCTTTACAATAAGATAGGATGTATTTGCTATTGATGTTTATTTGCATATCTATCATATTTTAGTTTGGTTCGTTGGATATATAATAATCTGTGAACATCTTTTTTCACAGTGCTGTTGGACCCTAAATGACTTAAGTTCTGCACGTGCCGTTAAACACAAACAAATAGAAGTCTTCATGGTTTTCATTCCCCGTAGTATATCGTCCGTTGATGTTGACTTTCATTGCTTCGTAGTTCTATTTATTTGTTTTTACGCGCTATGCTATACATGTTGACGGATACACAAGATTCTTTTAACATCAAGGTTTCACAAATATCCACCAAATGTATTTGTATTATTTGTGTCAGCCAACAGCATTGGCGGGATAGGAAACTTCATCCTGTCAGGGTTCATCTGTAACATACCTGTCCTTGGCGGCTGGCCATTTATATTTTACATTTTCAGTAAGTTTTAACTCGTTTATATACAAATGTAAATTTATCTCCATGTGATATAATATCTGCTGTATAAGCCTTTTCTAATTGATAATCATTTTGCGTTCTGAGTTGTTCTAGGTATTCTGTGAATCAAGACAAAATTTCACGAATGTTCAAAATATCAAGTTGAAATACAAAATATTTTCTCACACTATTGCTAGTGAAAATATACAAAATGGTAAGACCTCCGATCGTTGAACTATTGCACTAAGCAGCTTTAGCTACGGAAATAAACATCAGCGTATCGCCTTTAGCACTTACAAACGTATTAATTACACAATTGGATGAAAGTTCAGCTATCAATGGGACGCTTAATCCAATAAAACCAAACGAAAATAAAATGTAAACGTCCATCTCTGATAGGTGTTTGATACAGAATAATTTCATTACGTTATAGCATCATTGATGTCAATCTCATGAACACTATTTGAAACGAGCCTGATTTTGTTTTATATGCTACTTTTCAAGTTTTCCCAAACAGGTGGAATAAATATGGTAGCCATGATTCTATGGCTTTTCCTGGTATATGACAAACCAAGTAAACATCCTTGGATTAAGCCAGCAGAAGTTGATTATATCAACAGTCATAGAACAAAATCACATGACAAGGTATACTGTATTGTCATTTTCAAATCATATACTTTGCGCTGAAAATTGAATAGGCTGTATTAGCAAGATTTCATGTGAGAAACGATAAGACCTATTGATGAGCATAACAATAGGAGAACAACCAGTATTTGGGACATGCAGTGAGAGGTTCCATATTGGACAAACAAGAAATGTTACATTTATCCAAGAGCCTTAACTTCGTTTTAACTGTAACCGATAATATGTTATAGACTTTTCAAATCAATGGAAGATCCCCAAATTCACGTTATATTAATGCTACGTCATTATCCGTCATCGAAATTATATTGAATGCCATTGTTGTTCGGTTCGATGTTTGGTGCAGCAAATCATAAAAAACGCATACATAGTAAACATTTCCAGTGACGTAATACAGCATACCAAATATAATCAAAAAACTCTAACCGTGACCATAAAGGTATTCGTTCGCGAAATATCTCGTGTAATCCGAGACGTTAGTCAAACATGTGTTGTATTACTTTTTTGGAATAATTATGACTAGTCCTCTCGATTGTTTGATAATGATTTAACGTCGGAAAAGGGTCAGACGCTTTTACAGTATAACATGATAAAATAACTCAAATTCATCCATGTGTGTATTAATGCTACAACAGAGACAACACAAATATGTGTTTTTTTATAATTACAGCCTCTGGTGGTACCTTGGTTCAAGATGATGACATCGGGACCAGTTTGGGCATGTGTACTAGGATATGTGACATCCGGAACTCTCTTTATGGTCATGGCGGTGTGCCTTCCACTATATATAGAACAAGTCCTAAAATTTGACGTTGCAACGGTAATGTATCATTTTTGAGATGAAGTTTCTAAAATATCAGGTGAAGTTGTTTTTATTTTATCATTTGTATTGTTTCATTATTATATAAAATAGATCAACAATTTCTGTTCAAAGTTTGGTTCAGGTTTAGCGTCCTCTTAATAGTTATGGCATTATGGGAACAGGTGCCAACGAAAACGTCCGAAAATGAAAGCGTAAGGTAGCGAGAAAATGTATAGCATCCAAAGTATAGCAATGGGGGCAGCAGAGCAATATCGATTTCCTCTATGTCGGTTTAGTTGAAGAGACCGAAGAAAACCTTCGATTCTCTAGATCCCTATTTCCTAACCAGGAATGATAATAATAAAGCTATTTACCACCGTTCCTACACCCTTAAACCTGACGGAATTTAAATTGAAATGATACAACAAGCAACGAATTTCTTTGTCAGGTGTTAAATCAATCAGATAGAGAATAATATAACAATTCAATAAAAAAATGTCACACTGTAGGCAAGTCCTGGTGGACTCATCTGATAATTTCATTGTTGAAAGGACTGCTTTCCCAGAGCCCCTCTCCCCGTCTTCCTGTCATTTCCCTCAAATATTCTCTTTATACTCCCTCCGTACTCTGCCTCCTTTATACACAAACGCCAGCACGCTTCCGCACACGCAAATGACCTAAGCTGTTGATAGGAGGTTTAAAAAACTAAAGTCAAAACCATACTAAATTTTATTATCATTTTGGACATTGAACCTACCTGATGGACACAACACAAATTACCTTAAACTTGCAGATGATGACACGTTTTTTTCAAGGTTTAATAAAGACATCTCGTTACAGAATGGGTTGGTCTCCGCATTAGCATTCGTCGGCCGATTTCTTGGAGCACTAGTTTTTGGATACCTGTCTGATTGGATCTTTACAAAAAGATTGCTATCATTGATAACAATAAGGAAGACATGTCATGCTACTGGTGAGATTTCTTGTGTATTGATAACAATGTGTTTCAATGAAAACTCAATTTTCTGCTTAATTAACAGAAAACGCAAACATAAAGTTAGAAAGAGGTTTCATTATAAGATGTCCCTACATGATGGGTTAAAAACACTTTTTTACAAAGCATTTCTGTGGACAAAGTATTTGTACTAATCGAAACTAAAAAAAAACTTTCTTAATAGATTTTCAAATTTCCTCTTTTGCTCGGTTTTGTTTTCGAATATCAGTTTTGTTATATGTTAAGTATTGGTATTTCAAATGACCGATGACTTGACTCTTTGCAGAGTGTAGATAACATTCCAATATGAGGCGGAATGGGTAAACTTATTTTCCGTCCCTGTAGCTGCCTGTAGTATTAAAGTGCTATTTTGCAAAATGTCTCTTTATTTTCTTACAACTGCATTTACTGACTTAGCTCATTGTGGCTTATAGTGAGTTGTTTTCTGCAGTTCAGAGTCGAGACACCAGTCATTTGCGCTCTTTGTTTGGGAAATATTTTCGAAAGCTCGTAAACAATTACTGTTTGTGTTCAAAACAAAAAACAAACTTAGCATTTATAGCTATTCTGAACATCAGTTTTGATTTTGTGATATTTTTGTCCATGTAAGGTCTACTTGGATCAATTCCTATTATTCTCGGCATTAGTTTTCTGGGACAAGACGACCAGAGACTGGCCGTTGTACTAATGACTCTCTACTGGTTCACACTCACCTGTATGAACTCTGGATTCAGGGTCAATCCAGCCGACATAGCTCCGAGGTACGTCAGAGAACGCACTCAAAGCCATTCAGGCCAGATGTTTTTTGGCTTTGTTTAAAAGCATATCGGCAATGCAAGTCATTTAGGGCCACATAACACCGTAATGAATACTTCAAACTTGAACTAAATAGATGTAAAAATATATAAATAGAATGATATAATTTCATATATCATTGTAAAGATCAATTAAGTGTAAATAGTCATATATAAACTGCACAGAAATTGTATCAAATACATTTTTCATTGATAGTACATTATATAATCTGTCACGTACATGTAAGAATAGGCCTTCTGTATAATATAGTAACTCTTCAAACACTTCTATAATTTATACACAATGCAGTTTGTTTCGATCAAGTCATATATTGTCCGTGTGTACCTTTTAGACCTTTGATTTTTTTCCAGATTTGCAGGGGTGATTTGTGGAATGTGTGTTTTCCTGAACAGTGTAGTTTCGTTGTTTGTGCCGATGGTGGTAACGGCTCTCACTCCCAATGTAAGGTTACCGATTTTCTGGTATAAAGTCAACTGTTACTGTAAATGCATACCTTTAACGTGCGTTTATGATAATGATTAAACCCCATGGTCAGTAATAAGTCTTGTACATACATGTATATCGCTGTACAACCTTGCCATGTTGTACCTAAATGAGACACAGTAGTCTAGTGGTAGGATGCCAGGTTCGTGACCGAAGGGTTACGGGTTCGAGTCACGCCACGGCAATGTGTTGTATCTTTGAGCAAGATCCTTTACTCCGTTTGTTCCAGTCCATCTTTGGGAAAGATCCTTTACTCCGTTTGTTCAAGTCTATTCAGCTGTACGTGGTTGGGCAATGTTAGAATTGTAGAATGCTAGCTGTGAGCGCCGAAATGGCAGCACCGGCTGTATGCTCCCCATGGAGTTGAGAAATATATGTCCTTTTTGCAAAGGCCCTATAACCACGGATACTAATTTGTTAACCGCTTTAAGACGACCTACGAATTAGGTTGTGATAAAGCGGTATATACGAACCTCGATTTACTATTATTCAATGATAGAAACAGGAGAAAAAATAAGCAAACTTGATCACTGATTGCCTTATCTATCTTAACGTATAAAACACACAAAAATTGCAGATGATACTAAGTAAATTTAAGATCTAATGACTGACTACAAATCTAGCAGCTTTTGATCTTCATATGGCTCTTCAGATTTATTTCCGTTTTCTGTATTTTCCGGGAATGATGTTGTAATTTAGGTTTCACTTAAGGGTGTTTGCATGTTGTAATAATCTGTAATGTAGGGTAAGTTTGTTCTAGTTAATAGCATAATTCAAAATAGAATTATTTGAATTGTACACTTCTCTTTAGGGTACAGCTGATGAGTGGCAAATAGTTTTTTACGGATGTGTTGGCGTGTCTGTGGTTGGAACTGTGGTGTTTCTAGTGCTTGCCAGTGCCAAAGAACAGGAATGGGCCAAGGATCCAGAAATGGACAAAGATGTAGTCATCAAAGTGACCGGAAGTAACAACCACGCCTTTGATGTTGACTCGGTATGTAGTCAGAATTCAAGCTACTCCTTCAAGTGAACAAACAACCCACATTTAACAGGACGTAGGAAACTCGTGGATTAAATTTAATGCCATTAACTTGATTTGTATTTCGTCGGAATAGTGAGTTATTGTTTTTGTGTTGTTAACGACAATAAACTAAACATTTTAGTCCATAAGGCTTTATCTTGTCCATGGTTTAGTAGTCAGAAAACGGAAAAACAAAAACTCGTTGTGTTATCCTTAGTTGGTTAACAGCACAGCAACGGGTAGGTCATTTCCGACCTAACAACAAAAATAATGGACAGTTATAAATCGAAATACACCAAATGTAACAGTAAAAGATTATAATCTGCATAGACTAGTACAAAGCAAAACGGTCAGAAACTATTATATTTTGATTTTATGGTGTAGAACAATTCCACGTACTCATTCGAAAATCTTTGACAAATGTATTGTATAGAACAATGCTTTTCACATCATACACATTTTTATTTTTTATCTCAAGTCTGTCTATGATCAAAATAAGCTTCTACTTTTCTTTACATCGCAAAGTTAAAACCAAATAAAAGCAAACTAAATCAGCTCCGAGTTTTCAACAAGTGTTATAATTATATATAAAATGGAAAGTAAGTAAGCTGGATATTGAATTCCTAACGGACCACCAACAGAAAAGATTATCACGGCCAATTAAAAGTAGAAAAAAATCATGTAACCAGAAACGGCTTCCAAAAACAAAAAAGTAAACGACGAACGCTAACTTGAAAGGTGAACTTGGCTATGACTAGCTATATCTTAATAAACAGACCAACTATTTTAGAGACACCTACTATTTGGAAAAGATTTAGATAAGTAATATTATCATACAACATTATCGTGATGGCTGTATGTCCATGCAGTCTCATGTTAACAGTTTAACTGCTAATGGTTAGCGACATGCTATGTATTGAAAAATGGTCAGAGCGCTTCAATAAATATAAATGGGTAATGTACGAATGACCCGTTCGGAGATCAGTAAGGATAACGTCACCTCAGCAGCTTTCTCTATAGCTACATTTGTTCAACACTGTTTACCGATTTAAGGTTTTATAATGTGTACTCTATTATCTATGGATTGATTCCGATCATTTTGCCACTTTGAACGTACACATTTTGTTTTTGGAGGTTTAAAATATGTAAAATCAACAATATGTGATAATGTTAATACATGTACTTTACTAATTGAAGTATTCTTCAAAGTTTTGTTGAGAAGGCTCGTAGAATGGTCCATACTACTTACATTCGGTACATTATTCGATTTAATGTGCTCAAGGGCGAGATAGATAGCCTGGGCTCCAAGAGAGAACATTAATAAATCATTGGTCTGCATCTAACAGCGGCATCTTTCGGAACCATTGCTGCGGCTACCTATCATCATAATTTGCATAATCAGTATAAAATGATTGAAAGTCCTTGTATTTGGAATGCAATTTCAAAATGGCTGAATGGTAGGCGTAAGATTCAGTGTAGGACTGTATCGCCTCTTCAGGCAAACTCAAAAGTCATGGAGAAACACATATCGTTGAAAATGATTGGAAAGTGTCCGAATTCATTGGGACGCTTTCCAAGTGGGATGAAATATGAACACACTGGTTGGAAAACAGTTGGAAACTAAGGTTCATCATTTGGTTTGAGTACGAGTGAAACGGCTAGATTTGAAGGATATGATCCTAATGGAATAGCAAATGTTTTTTTCTTGATGATTAAAAGGACCACCTTTTTATTAAATGTATAAAAGTAAGTGAAGTTCGCCGTTAAACATGCCATCATGAGGCAACATGTAGTACATTTGTATGTGTAAGTGCAATGTTGGACTCTGTAACTGAGCTATCTGGTTGCTTTAGAATAATCTATTACAAATAAATAAATAAACAAAAAGCATACATTTTTTTTACTTTATTCATTAGTTAGGGCTGCCTTTTTTATATAAATTTAGAGGGTTTTTTTGTTTGATATTTACATGTCTCCCTTCTTCAGCTTCAACTCTGACAGCGTATAGATTAGCGTATACGCAGTGGGAAAAAAAGCTCGGCGGATTGATACTTGTTTCTAATATGACGCCGGTACTTGGACCATATTAGGGATCCATTACATCTAATGTTACAACAAAGTAATGCTGGCAAACTTCTTATTCTATGGATGAACATTCAAATATCTCTGACGGTATTCTTAATTTACTCATATCACTGGAACTATATTATCCTAACAGCCACGGCCTCCGTAGTTACCATCATAGCAACCCACTTCAATTGCTTTTTGTAGCATTTAACATTTTTTGGATCTATATATAAGGATTGCCCTTCTTTTTAACGGCGTATACGGTAGTATGAAGTGAACGCAGTTGTAACGCGCAACATAGAATATGTTCATTGCCAACTGCGTTCAAAAAGAAGGTCAAACCTTAATTGGTTTTTTTTTGTTAAACGTCCTATTAACAGATAAGGTCATTTAAGCACGTGCCGCCATTTGTGTTGTGTAAGCCTTTTTTGTGTATGTGTACCGAAGACAGGGTATATTGATGTACTTGCCTTCTTGTGATAGCGCGGATCGGATGCCGACTTTAAAGTGCTATCACACTGATATACCATGCCGGAGGTACCCAGCACAGCCTTCCGCCCGGCCACATGTTGCAATTATCCTAAATACTGAACATTAAGCAGGGTATAACAACTACCATTGTTATTGTTTTTTGTTCAATAGTTAACTTGAAGTCAGTATGTGACCGGATAGAATGCTGTGCCGGGTGCTTTCGGCATGTCATTTCAGTGCGTTAGCACTAGACAGTTGGCATCAGAACTGCGCTATCACAAGGAGGCAAATACACCAACATTTTGCCTCAAGTATACATTATACACATTCACGCATACACAACACACATTGGGCACGACCTTAAATTATCATAACTGTTTCATTTGTGATTAAGGACGCCACTGTACGGCAAAGTCTCTTTGAACAATGTGAGCTCAAATTAATTTTATTAAATTCTAGAATACCGTTCTAACAGCACAGGACAGGTCAATGGGGCCAATTAATGGTCGATAGAAACAAAACAACAACAAACAAAAAAACATCACTCAAACAAAAACATGATTAAGAAAAAGTACATCACACTAACGAAAATAAAGGAGATAAATGGCAATTTGAGCATTTAAAGTTGCTAAAAAAATATCCAGTTACAGCAATATGACAATTTACCTTCATTTACAGGTCTACTACAATTGCACGCAGTTATACTGATCTTGACCAAAACGGATTTATATATAACAATGTGACCGTGAATATCGACCCATGACCTTACAATGCATGGGTTAATACGAAACTCTAGAGATACCAATATGTTAAGTTACAGTGAAATTTTATTAAGAATATATCTTATCAGGTTGCATTTCAATTCAAAATGTACCACACTATGGCGACATGACTATTATGAAATCAGTTGATGTAAGGTTTCAGTCAGTTTTCCCCGTCCAATGCAACGACCAATCCGATTGTTGTTTTTTTTAATTATGTGCATCAATTCTTACCATCGACGCATTTGACATTCGACTTCCTATTATACTCACGTACCTGTTGACCAAGTTTCAATGTAATCTCATCATATTTCAAAAAGGTTGAATGGACGCGAAAAGATTGACAGACTGACGAAAGCGGACATTTAAATAGTATGCTATGCCATATAGCAAGTAATCCATTATTAGATAAGGTTATAAAACGATACACCTGTATATTACTATTTGATTTTTTTTATTTTGAATCGGCGTTATGCTTTTAAAAGGAGACTGATTTCACTGTGAAATAAGGTTAACATTTCTTCAAACGTGAGCAAAAATCAGAAGTAACATGCATGAAGCATAAACTATTGATATAGTTCAAAGAGTTTTCATTTCATAATTTGGTGTTGGCATTTAACAACGGTGTAGATTCCGAATCCAGACCATTTAGATGAGGTTTAGAGACAGCTTTGTCCTTGTTCGACTCTCTTATCGCCTCTTCAGTGACGAGATCCGGATCCTTTGCCCATTCCTGTTCGTCACCTTTAGCCAACACCACGAACACCACCGCACCTACGACGGACACTCCAACAACGCTGTAAAACACATTTTGCCACTCCTCCGCTGTACCCTGTAGAGAAACCAGCATAACATTGTCTCATTACTCGGTCGTGTAGTTTTAATATGTTTAACTTCTTTTTAAAAGCTAGGGTACTCAATTGGTCTTGAAACGTGCATACATATTTATTGTCAAAGGTTATTTTTACATGAAATTAGTTGTTTCGTTTCGATTATCTTAAAATTCGATCGTAATATTTTGATGAAAAGCATTCAATTTTAACGATCCGTATATCCAATCTACAGATGTCGACAATGTCGCACATAATAATAATAATGATAATTTAATTCGCAAGTTTTCTTTAGAATCGAGATTACACAATGACATAGGATTGAACAAGAAAGAATATCATAATCCTTGGGAAAATAAACAGCTGTGAAAATAACCCTTATACAGTACAATTTTGTATTGTTGATGTTTGTTTGTGGTTAAACGTCCTCGCAACAGATAGGGTAAAATAAAGACGGGTCCCTAAGGGACACCACCGAAAGAAATAGTAAGTAAAAGACAAAGGTAAAGATTGATCGCAATAAGTATGTTGCAATTGGGGAAGCAGATCACTTTTGATCGTTTTAAGGTCCGACATGTATCAGAAGAAGACGCAATTAAAAAGCGCGATTTTGCAGGGGGTCCCGATAGTGTTACTTCTTACGACATGCAATAACACAATGCATGTATACCCTCCCTCACCCCCAGAACATACAAAGGGTCGTTTTAGAAGTTTTCTGCATTTGACAATTGAATTCGAGTACAAAGGTTATTTGTTCTCTCTCTCTATTTAGATCTGATTATTGCACTGTCTTTAGAATACAAGTACCTAAATTGTTCACATAAACACTACCATATTTATCACGCGAATTAGAGGGATTATTTTTCACAGGAATGACAGATGTTTCTAGTATTTTTAAACGTTTATTTGTGATAAGTCGCTATAATAACAACAACAGCAAACAATCCAATTTACAGTTACCTTATTTGTGTTATAACGAGAATAAAGAGTGTTAACAACAAAACGTTCAAGCATATCTATGTAGATTTAAGAGATATATTTTCCATATTTCTGAAATCCAAACTAACATTTAAAAGACAATATATATAGCATATACATATGTTTATTATTACATGGAAAGAAATTTTAAAATGTTGTTTTAAAACTCACATTCGGTGTGACGGCAGCGACAATCAAAGGTGCAATGGCAGATAACACAGCAGTAAGATTAATGCTTATTCCATTTATTAGTCCAGCGAAGCTGTGGGGAGGAATCACGGTATAATAGGTAGTAACTTGCAAAGCACATATAAAGTTACACAAGTGCATTCAAAGCAGCGAATCGAAATTGTTTTTTTCTTTTCTTTTCATAAAAAGCTGAGACGGTCATGTTTATAGAATTATTATCATTTCAAATTGAACTAAAAAATAAGATGTTTAAAGAGCTGCTAAAAATTGATTGCATAGCAAACAAATTAGTTTTGATGCATATATAGTTTTGTGCTGCAGGCTAATTGAACGTAAAAAGTCATATATTTATGGCGCAAAAACCGATTCAAAGAAACTGTTCATTTTAAATATAGAATTTTGCACGTATCATTTGAAAATACGTGTATTCGATCATACCCTGCCTCCAGCACACAACACGCATGTAGGCATACACAACACGCATGTAGACATGCCCTTAAAAGACCTTAATTGGGACGTTAAACAAAATAAAATCAAACAAAACAAAATTGATCATAAAATGTTTGACAGTAAATGGTTGATCACAAGCATGACAATAAGGTAGATTTTCGCTTTGTAAAATAAAAGCATGTAAAGTATAGATACTGCTATGCCTAGTCGCGAGAGGACAACATTTTCCTCTGCAATCACCTATGTATGTTGCTAATGAACCAACAGAATGTTTTCGGACCTTTTACATGTATGTTTCCTATTCTTTTTAATAAAATTTGCTATGGAGTGTTTAAAGTCAGTGTAAGGCATTTTGACATCAACTGTGTGTAGATCAAGTGTCTCTTTAGCAGCTCTATCTACAGTACTCCTTAATCATCCAGTTGTTCCGTATTAACAAGACGTTACAGACTTAAAGGGGAATACTGAAGTTTCAACAAAACCACAAATCCAACTCAAAATCCATAAAACAAGGGCAAAGTAGACAAAGGAAATATCTATAAGGAGACGCCTGAAAACAGTGCAAGAAGAATAAGGTCTTATGGAAGGATAAGCGTCGTATGCTCTATGGAGAACACATGCATTATAAATCTAGGTCAGATCGAAGAAGGTCACGTCCTTCAATCGCAAACTCAGGTAGTGATTTATTGCACGAACGTATATATTCACTCGTGAATATATTCGTCCGCGCAATAAGCTCGTGCTTTCTGATTCGTTAGAAAAAAGCAAGTGTGTGATCTTGCATATATATTGTTTTACGGCCCATCGACAATATGAGTCACTTAGGGCCCAGCAACACTGTTCAAAAATAGACTTTCACAAAAATGAGTACATCAAACTAAACATTAGTAGATTAAAAAGTCTAAAAATAAATCAATGTCATACGATATTTTTGTGACATATATCATATATATTTGTAAACATCAATTTAAATGATCATATGTTAACTACACAGAAGCTGTATAAACAAATCATAGACGGTTCATCAAAGAATCTGTCACACATTTGTTAAAAATAAGCGATTTCAATCATAAATTGTGAAACTGTTAATGGTTGATGATGAATTTTCAAGACACCATTTAGTAATGGTACTTTTGAAAAAGTGTAATTGATTCACAATAAATCACATTTTGTCTGCTATTCAGACCTTACAAAAGCAATTAAATAATTTAAGAGAAATGAGAAAATAATCCCCGAATGACCTCGGTATACAAATGAACTTCAGACAAAATGTAACTGTATCAGTTGAGTCGCTTAACAGACTGGAGTGTTATAAGTCCGATATAATATTTTTATGAAGACATAAGCCTTAACGTTTTTTAACTGACAACGTTACTTCGCAATGGAACATTTTAACAACTGTTGTAAACGTACAACATATCCAAAATAAATATTTAAGTTATTAATAAAGGCATTTTAATATAACCTATTAGGGGTTTGCATTTTTTGGTGAATTGAACGTCTTTCACCAGGCTTGGTGAACATGAACAAATTTAATATAGGATCGGGCTTGGTGAAATAAATTAAGGCGGGAATTATATCATTTATAGCACACCTACCGTGGAGCAATATCGGCTGGATTGACCCGGAAGCCGGAATTCATAGCAGACAGAATGAACCAATACAGGGTTATAAGTACAATGGCCAGAAGCTTGTCGCTCTCCCTTAGAAAGCTAATCCAGATCACAAGGGGAACTGATCCGAGCAGACCTGAACATACAGTTGTAAAAAAAGATAATTATTATTAGATTCTTTAAGACTCATCAAGAAAAAAAGGTCATAAGGGCCAATAAAAAGTAGATAAATCATGCTAAAAAATAACATCAAACGAACACAAAGGTAAAAGAAAAACGTCAACTCCAAAATTAAAAGTGGCTATGCTTATCTTAATAATATCTTTTAGAACAGACCAACATGTTTTAAGAGGTTAAGAATTGTAGAAATATTTACCGTTTCAAAAAGAGATTTGGGATATGTTGTATTGTTGTAAAAGATTCCCCTTGTTGAATGAAGGTCAATACAGTCTAATAACAAGTGTTGTACTGTAAATGGTTCGTTGCATGCTATGCATTGAGGTTGGTCTTCGCTTTTCAATGAACCCATTGTGTAATACCAGACTCGACATGTATATGATAATATGGTACGAACTGACAATCATATATATCCTCCTTGTATAAATATTGCAGATAGTGCAGTAGCTGTGAATAGCAATATCATGCCCAAAACAAAAACAAAAACAAATCATGCGAAGAAAAACAAAAAATGCATAAAATAATATTTTCATCCATAGATGTTTGATTATCTTAAACTTGCGCTAAAAGTTCTCTCAATATTGGGAAAATATCATTGCCGAAGTGAAACGAGAATTAAACCTAACAGAAAGGTACTCGTCTTTTTGGTTTATCGATACCATCCGCCATTTGAACCTAGATCTGTTCCAATGTCAGGATTGAAAAGAGACCGAGTGAGTGATGATGAAACCACAAAAAGCAGATTTTAGCATTATACAAAAACGTTGATTTTCATAGCGTACTTGGAAATGAATTATTTCTAAACAAGACCCAGGATGGCAATCGCAAAACCTTTTGTTTTAATTTTATTTTCAAAAACCTGCATATCATTATAATAGAATCTTTCTATTTAGCTGGGATCTTTTTTAGATTGAGCACGACAAAATTGCGAATGAAAATGACCTTGACCTACTTTCAGTGTCACAGGAGTCAAATATATCAAAAACATCAAACGACTTCTTCTGCATAATCGAAAGGTATAGAATCATAATATTTGGCTGGTGGCTTCTTGGGATAGAGCTCACCAGAGTTTGCAAATATAAATGACCTCAAACTACTTTAACGTCAAAGAGGTAAACAACATTTCAAACGATTTGTTTTGAAGATCCAAAAGGAATCGATTCATAAGATTTGGCTGGTAGCTTCTTGGAATAGATTCAACAAAGTTTGAGAAGGAAAATGACCTTGACCTACATTAAATTATGTCAAACAACTTCTGAGGCAGAACCAAAAAGCATAAAACCATATTATAATATTTGGCTGGTAGTTTCAATAGATGGAGCCGACAAAGTTTGTGAGTGAAATATTTGTGGTACAGTTTAATATTTGATTGAAACTTTGCTATGAATGCTTAAATATTCAGAGCCTCTTGTTTTGTTAAACGACCTATTAACAGCCAAGGTCATTTGAGGGCGTGCCTCTTTGCAGGTGTGGATGCGTGCATGTGTGTATGTGTGCTGGAGACAGGGTATGTTGGTGTACTTGCCTTCTTGTAATAGTGACGATCTGATACCTGATATCTGATAAGGGAGGAACACGACCATTTTTAAGGACATTGGTCCCCGCCTGGAGACAGAAATGAATTATACATACCAGTCGTTTGAAATAGTTTACGCAGATTACATATCGAAAGACGTCCTTTGGAATAGACGAAGTCGGCTAGGTATCCAAAAAACACGGCTCCGGCTAATCTGCCGACAAAAACTATTGCTGAGATGACACCATTCTGAAAACATGTCAGGACTAATGTTATAAGGATTTATATAATGTAAAAAAAAGATATTGCATTATGAATACAAATAAGCAATACTTTTTTTGTTAAAAAGTATAAACAGGCATAAAAAATGAAATGTGTTAAAAAACTGTTAATTCATGATCGAACAACACCGTACAAACAAACAATGATATTTAAAAACAATCTCACTGCGTTTATCTACCATTCAATATCCGATCTAGTTGGGCCGTAAGAGAACCAGTGACTTCCTTTTTTTTTATCTGATGTTGGACTGGTCAGTCCTAAATTCAGCTGTTTTCGGGTTGATTATAATGTTCTGGTAATGCATAAACTTCTTTATTTTACAACATCTGTAAACAAGTTTTGAACTGATATAAATCTTTTTTTGCTCATATAAAAGCGCACATAATATCGTGGAAAGAAACAAGAGTATTTGAAGAAAATCCAGAGGATCAGAAAGGTGATCCAATGCATTTTCATGTCCAGCCGGTGAGTCGAACCAGAGCCATTCTGGTGAAAAGCAGGTGCGCCATCCGCTGCTCAACCCAACACCCTAATAGGTTATGGTTAGAGGGGATGACAATGTTCTCATTCGGGACTTTTACTGTGTCGTTTTCTTGATTCATGGAAAAAAACCGAAATTGATTAACTGCACCCATCGCAAGACTTTAAATCTATTTCATTTATTGTTTGCTCTTTCCTACACTCTCGTGTCGACGGTGTCCCACTCGGCACCCGTCTTTGAACTGTATGGCCATAGCATCTTCAACATCTACTTTTTACTCATCACCATACGATCCGCGCATATATCGTGTGCAATTTCATATTGTGGGCTTAAATATGCCTGCAAACATTTCATCATTGATCTCAAAGTAAGTGTTAGAGTTTGCTGTTACTAACGTAAGCTTAAAACACTTTTGATATTTAAGTTTAACCATATGGAATATCCGGTGAAAGTGGGATCTCCATCTAAATTTAAAGTGGTTCCAATACCATATTTTGAAGAGAAATCTTTTAAAACCTTAAAAGATAAACATATTATCTTAGCCTACAAGCGAAGTGTAAAGAATTCAAAAATAACGTACCAATGTTGCGTCGAACTTTAAAACCTGTTCAATGTACAGCGGAAGACATATAGCCATTATCATAAAGAGTATACCGGAAGTGATAAAACCGAGAACACATCCCCAAAACGCAGACGATGTCATCATTTCCAGCCAAGGTATATGTGTTTTCTATAAAATAGAAAATCCATTACACATGTGCAAATTTCAAATGATTTTAAAATATGAACATGAAAATAAGCTTAATGCCCACCGTCGATCTATTATTAAAAAATAAATATCTGTTTCACCACAGTTCTTTATTCTTAAAAGTAGGTAAAAGTTAATCGCCTTGCAAACCACTTTGTCCTTAAAGTGTGGTAGCCGTGGTTTTTATTTTAATTATCTATTAACCAGTTAAAAACCGTTATTGAACTATTACAATATACATCAAGGTGATTTAGGCTACCAATAATTCTTCAGAAGCACAGTTCGTGTGTGGAATGTAAGCGTGCATGTGTGTGTGTGTGCTGGAGGCAGCGTATGTTATTGTATTTGTCTCCTTGTTGTAGCGCGGATTTGATGCCGACGTTATCATCTACCATGTCGAAAACACCCGGTATTATATTACGCCCGGTTACATTAAACTGACAACGGCTTAACCAATTGTTGCGACAACCTTTCTCGCTGAACATATAGCAGGGAATAACAACTAGCAATTTTACGGCTTTAAATTGACTGAACTCAATGCTTTCCTCATTGGAGCAAACTTTTAACACTTGTAATGTTTATATCTTCATTCTGATGGCACTAAAGGATACATAACACTTTCATATTAACAAAATGTATATAATCGTCTTCGTCATTGAATGACAAGACAGTAATACCATAAATGAAATCTAGACGCTCACTCATTAGTTTTCAGCAAATAATATCAGACAAAATCTTAATTATATAGCATCTGAATATACAATAACCGTTACTTATATACTTATAAACACATAAATTATTTTGGGGGAAATATATTAACCTCAAACTTGGCAAATTCACCGAAACACTTATACATACCGTGTCAGCTCTTGTCTTGATCCTGTGATTTTCGATAAATTCAAGTTCCTTTGGTGTTATTCTGGGATGCATACTAGGTTTGTCATAGGCAACGAAGCCCCAGACCACTAATGCGAGCAAGTTTAATCCACCTGTATGGGTGAAAATGACGTACAGGATACCAATTGGTTTCCAAGAACGCAATTCTATCACAGAGAAGACACCAAATGCTAGAAACACGAACAGGATACTTCTATATAGTACTCATCTAAGTATTAATGTAAGGTTAAATGAGAACTTTATCGTGTTAAGTTGAAAGGCACTGCTGAATTAGGTACTCCAGCAGATACTTCAGGAAGGGACCCTTTTTTAGATATCGAGTAAATATTGTACATACGACTCCAACTCAACTGATTGCTTTGATAAACGTTGATAATACTTTAAACTGTTCTGTAATATACAAATATGTAATTGAAACTAATCAGTCGTTGGATGAAATTTAAACTCACGAAATCAATATCTGAAACAGTTCGTCTCCAGTAAAAAATAGGTTTGTTGTGCCTTACAAATCCTATACAAGTCGACAGGGATATTTGACTCCATTGAAAGACGGTAATTAGAAGAAAACTATCAAAATTAAACCTCTGTTGACTTATCACTTTAGGACTAGCGTGTATTTTGAATGTTCAATGAACGTTCATTTCTTTAAAACGGACGGCAAAGCAAGCTTACCTACCATAATGTGACTTACCAAATATATAAAAAATAAACGGCCAGCCTCCTAGGACAGGTATGGAACAAATCAGTCCTGAGAGGAGAAAGTTCAAAATCCCGCCGATGCTATTTGCTACAACAAAACAAAATGTTCTAGCTTAGTACTTTTATAGTTTAGGTCGATTAAACAACATGCTGTTGATTGTTTTGTGTCCGAATGTCACGCACGCATATACATAGTTACGGACTTTGTAAGTATTGTGGTGTATGCTTGTATGTGTTGTCCTATGTACCTGTGACATTTAGTGGGGTGCTACCTCAGGGACGTCACGACCGGGTAAGTGGGTAAGCCAGAGGAGACCATAACATGGGGACAATGAAACGCACCCGTGATGAATACGGAGAGACTATATAAGAATATACCGGTTCGTTCCGTACTAAACACCGAAATTACAAAAATATGAGCCCAAACTATTTAAATATTTTTTAAAACCTCGTCATTAAAGGATAAACTTCTTGTGAAAAGAATACGTGTATTGGCATCATCGTTATTGAGTTGGTGCAGTATGCTTCAGCGCATGTGTAGCGCAATCACCTACTTGAGTTACTTAAAAATTAAAATGTATGTGTTTCCATTGTTATTATGCATTAACATAGTTTGGAAAAATACCCTTGCATTTAACGTTTAGGCTGTTAAGTCGGCATCAGATCCGCGCTACCACAAGATGGCAAATATGGCTAACGCGATTCATGGAATATGTCCAGAAAGCCAATGTTTTTATGACCTCATGCATGTTGTAAAAATAAATTTCATTCCTTTATTTGTATTGCTTACCTGATTCAACTACAACCATCATCTGCGCCCGTTCCGGAAGCGGAGCCCAGTTGGACAGTAACTGTGTGGCTCCCGGTTCAACCCCTCCCTAACGATCATGCATATTACATATATACAAAACGCCGGTTATCTACTTACAGGATATATTTTATCATATGAACTTTGTTATATATACTAATTTTCCCATTGTGATTAGTTTGGACATCATTTTAAGAATATTAGACATGATGCCAGTATGCGATGCAGTAGACTAAATGATGCCTTCACAATTAGTAAGTTATTTGATTCTGAACGGCCATCGAGATAAAAAGGTTAGCAGTGACAATAAAAAGTAAATTGAACATGTTAAACGAAATGACATCAAACGAACATGAAGGTAAAAGATAAGGGTCAACTTGAAAACTTAAAGTGGCTATGTTTAGTTCTATCTTTTTGAACAGACCAACAGTTGTTAGTTAGGTTAGAATTGAAGAGATACTGACTGTTGTGGAAAGAGATAAAACGTTCATCATAGTTGCATGAATGTTTTATATTTAGATAAAACAAAACTATCATAACATTAACACCTTGTGAGCAGCAGTAAACAAAATTATTAATATTCATTAATAAAAAATGTGCTGGGATTTTCATTGGAGATATTAATAAAGCGAACAGTAAATAATATTGTAAATTTCGCAAAGTTTGTAATTCAAAGTCATTTTGCTGTCGAATCATTTCTGTACCCACCGCTGCCATGCCGATTGCTATCCGGGTAGCCAGAACAGCGTATGGGCTCGTGAAAGTCAGGACTGGTGTCAGGACTGACGTCACAACAATAAGCAAAGTCAGACCGGTGATCAGTGCCTTTACGCTGACCTTTCCTGTTAAGGTTCCAAATGCAAACGATGTGATCGATAGTCCAATGTAATATCCCGATATCAGTAGTCCCTCCATTGTGTTGTCCCACGATACGTAGTTATCCTGATATTGAAGCATGGCAATCATTTACAGAGACTATACCATTCAAGAATGAAGTTTTCACGGTATATTTGAACAGTTTATATTTGAAATTATTTTTAGGCAAACGATTTGTGCTACATCTACGTGTCATATGATGTAAGTGAAAGTACTCAAAACCTTAGATAAGGGGAACTATTATGCATTCAATCCATTATGCGATCGCACAGCTAAAATCGGAAAACTATATACTGCATTCAATTATTTTTACAAAATATTGTTTTTAACTTGGAAAGTATTAGAATTAAAATGAATGAAAAGAAAGATATTCCTCTTACTAAATACTCGTCTCTTATTGTGACGTTTGACCCATTCTGGACCACGGTAGTTGTCATATTTCCTGGATTCATACAAACTACAACCATGGTCATATTCATACGTAGCATCATTGAACATGACATTTGTAAACAAATTACAAAACCGACATGCCAGCGACATGACGTAAGCTTTTCCATTAAGGTGATGCCATATTTCTGAGTAGGCTCATCATGTAGAAGGCTCTGATTTTCTGAAACAAAATTAAGGATTTCATTTATTGTAAATACATGTATTACGTCGTTCAAAGAATTTGTGTTGTAGGATATATCAAGGTTTGGTTTGCTTTTATTTTGTTTAACGTCATATTTAATAGCTTTAATAATAATAATAATAATAATAATAATAATAATAATAATATACAACATTTATATAGCGCCCTATATAATTTGTAAAATTACTCTAAGGCGCTTTACAACATATGGATAATAGAAATTGTTATAATTGGGAAAACAAACAACAAAGGCTTTCAATCACTTTCATACATTTAACAAGCAACGGCACATAATTGAACAAATGAAAGGGTGGTATTTACATGACGTCTTTGCAAAGATTCTAAAATGCAGACGTGAAAAGGTGAGTTTTTATGTCCCTCTTGAACTTGGCCATGGTATTTGACTTCCTAATAGCAGATGGTAACCTATTCCACAACGTAGCCAAAACCCTCCCAAAGCATCTGTTTCCGTAGGTCACAGTACGAGATTTTGGGACACACAACAAATATTCTGACTCCGACCGCAGTGATCTTGACGTCTGATACAGGGTAACAAGGTCCTGTAGGTACTGAGGAGCTGTTCCATTCAGTGCCTTGTATGTGTATACCAGAATTTTGTACTGCGACCTGTATCGTACAGGTAACCAGTGCAACGAATAAAGCGCAGGTGTGATGTGCTCTCTCTTTCGAGTACGAGTAACTAGCCGTGCTGCGGTGTTCTGGACCCTCTACAGACGACTAGTTAGTTTGTCAGATATACCACAGAACAGGACGTTACCATAATCCAACCGAGAGGTAACAAGTGAATGCCCCAAAATCTTGCATGCATCTGCAGTTAGAAACTGCCGAATAAAGCCGATGTTCCTGTTCTGGTAGTAACAGGATTTGGCAATAGCGTTCACTTGTTTCTCCATGTTCAGAGAACTGTCGAAGTATACCCCAAGATTTTTAACAGCTGGAACAGTCTCAATAGTTCTGGCACCAACCTTGAGCTGGAGAGCCATTGTTTGCTGACACTTTGGGGAAAAGACGATTAGTTCCGTCTTTTCCTGAATAAGTTTAAGCATGTTGGTGTTCATCCAGATACTGATACAGATGTGGGATCGCACAACGTTACACGATGTGCGGTGTGCGTACGAAGTGTGCACGGTGTGTGAACCGTGTTTGCACGATGGGCGAACGATAAAATGCTGGACGATCATTGCTTGCGCACATTTGTGCGCACGATGGACGAACGATGTGCGATAACAACGTGGTTTGTGTAAATTGAGGAATGCCTTAACAATGTATACGGTTTCGTATTGAAACATATAAACTTGATTTTTACGTATGTTTCTGTATTCTAGCTACATCTATAAACTTATTTTTCTGTCTATACATTCTTATATTTAGAAATTGTGTTTTCGGTGTTTTTAAACAAACTTAATTTCATCGACACATGTAAAATTACAACACAATCCCGTATACAGGTAAACATAACCACTCTGTACATGTACCTGGACCGTAGTTTTCCCCCCGCCTGGGGCACTTACAATGTACGTAACTCGTCGGGTAAGGCCGGGGTGTGAAAATCCAGGTTAAGGGGAGCTATAGGTAAACGAATGCAAATAACAAATACTATTCATTACGATCATACGGTATCGCATATCAGCTCTGTGTGGGAGTCACTGGTCAGGTAAAACTCCGGACACTCATCAAATTGTTATTTACCTGTTCGGTTACCTTGGAGCCAAACCCATTCTTGACAGCCTAACGGTCGCTGTAATACTGTTTAACACGCAATGTGAAATTGTATAATCTTGATTATTGTGATGAGAAATTACAGATATATTCAAAGTGTACTTTATCGCATACGAGCCTTCCGTATTTTTGTCATTCCGTAATTTTGATCTACAAATCAAACCAAATCGCACAGTTGTGCGGAGAGAAGCGCACAAATGGGCGAACGATTGTTAAATCGCACAGTTGTGCGCACTATGTGTGGACGATGTGCGGACGGTGTGTGAACGATGTATGCACGGTGTGCGCACGCTATTTTTGGTGCGTTGTGAGGTCACACAACTGTATCCGTCAGACAAGCTTCCAGACTTTCTGAGACTGTATTACAACTGTCCTGTGGTTTTATGACCATGTAAATTTGTGTGTCATCGGCATAGCAATGATAGCGAAGGCTATGGCGACGACAAATCTCTCCAATCGGTTTGGAGTACATACAATATATAACAGCTACGGCCATTTAGGGACGTACCACCATATGTGTTGTGTATGCTTGCATTTATTTATGTGTCGGAGTCAGGGTATGTTGGTGTACGTGCTTTCTTATGATAGCGAGGATCTGATGCCGACTTCATAGTGTTGTCTCACTGTAATACCATGCTGAAGGCACTCAGCACAGCATTCCGCTCGGTCACATTTTGCTGACAACGGGTGAACCAGTTGTCACGATTCCCCTAAATTCTGAACGTGTAGCAGGTAATAACAACTACCATTATTACGGACTTAAGTATGCTAAGGAGGTTCCGGCCTGGGGACATCCTCACCTAAGCAAACGTTCAACAATAAAGCCAAAATTGAGGTATTGCCAAGCAAGGCGCTAGGAAATAAAATTTAGTTAGAAATTGAGAGAAATATAAAGATCCAAACTATTGCAATGGGTGCAGCAGATATATTTTGATCGCCTCAATCAATGACAGATATTACATATGCTTTAAATACCATGCGCTCGAATCCGAATCTAGAACGTGCATGATCAAATGAAGCAAAATTGAATTAATGGGTTGTTCTCGCGGTCCCACTCAGGTTGGTTATGTAACGGGAATTGTAACGTAGTCATACATGATGTTTCTTTAATTACCATTTTTCAGGCACTATTAAATGAAAAGGTTCTCAGGAAGGAAGTACGAAAGGATACAATGATCCGCGTTACCATAAACAGGCAAATGGACACAAAATACCTCCTCCGGCAGACACAAACATTCACGCATACATTACACACACAGAGGCACTTAAGTTACCTTAACTGAGAATAGGACGATACTCACAAATACAACCAATGCCGAATACTTTCCTTCAACCAACACAGGATACTTTCCTTCAGTTTCCAATACTATAACAAGGGGCGGGTTATGACGGGTCTTTTTCCCCATGAAAGTTTCTACTGAAATATTTGCTACTTACCTTCTTTAGACGTCATACTGTCAAATCAGCCGCTTAAGTGATTTTGAATAACGTCAATCACGTTCTTCATTCCTAGAGTCTTACAGGTCGGGCTAGCTATACAGCCAACGTCTGGTATAAGACTGCTTGTTCATGCTTGTGAGATAAGTGCGCATTAAAATGTACCCAAAAAATGCAATGCAGACCTGTCAAGCTGGTGATAACGCATACTAATTTAGAATAATAGTATTCCGCTATTGTATCCCTGACTAGGAATATATTTATGTGTCACACTTCTAATTTTTAAAATTCTTTCTGGTTGAATATTTTGCTGGGGTCTATATTTATATAGACCTCGTGCGAGGGAAGAGAACTCAAACTAGAATATCTCTTCATAACAACAAAGATGGCGTCCGACACACATAAGCGTTCGAGGTTTGAAAATCATTCTTTGGATGAAATGTAATAAAAGATGGTCAGGTGACAAATTCGTTATTTCTATGGTACATGTAGGAGGGGTCCACGAGCTCATAGACCCCTTTGGCCTTTACAGACCCAACGCATTTGGCTCGGGGTATATAAAGACCAGACGGGGTCTATGAACCCGTAGACCTCTCCTAAACAAGATCAAACTAATAATGCCTACTACGACAGTTAACCAAAACAATTTTTATCCATCATATTGCCGATACAAGAATTTTAATAAAATACGCAATCATATCGATTTTTTCCTATGAAAACGAAAAGTTCTTACGGTTGAACTTAAGAGAAGCGAGTTAGAATTAACTAATGATGAGCATTCTAAACTACAGATACCTTATACGTCTATTTTATCGTGTTGTAGAGTGATGGCGTAAAGAGAAAGGGCTTGAGACGAGGTTGCCCCTGTCCGTCTCGGGATTGGCTATTCATAAATAATGCATTCAATTTACTGAAAGGCGAAGATCAACCTCAATGCATCGCACTGTTATTATTGCATTGACCTTCAGCAAATACAGTTTTCTTTTTATAATTAAAATATTTATTCCTTTTTTTCAAAACAGAATTCTTTGTGTAAAATTCTAGACTACATAGATACGAATGGTTTGTGTCTAAAGATAAAACACAGCTAGTTATGTTTGTATTTTACTTTTTTGATGTGTGATGTCATTTCCTTTCACATGTTCAATAACCATTTAATGGCCCAAATGCGACCTCCTCTATGTTGATGGGCTGTAAAGAATGAAAATTTGTTTTGTTTTCCTTGATAGTTTTATGTCTTTTAGTATGCTATTGTACGATGGCCGACAAGAGCCTGACAAAAAGATATTCATTTTCATATATTTTTGTACCACGGTACATATTTATATAGTACACAAAGATATGAAACTTCAAATCTTTGTGTACCATTTAAAAGTGTACCATGGTACACAAATATATGATAGCAGAACTAAAATCCACCCGTTGCTTTTGTATCTTTCTGTACCAAAATAAGGGCCGAAAACAGCCATGGTACAGAAACATGTGAAACCATCAGACGAAAAGGTTACAAAGTATGACAAATTACACCCTGATAAGGCTGTCATCACATACAATGAAATGTTATCGCACGAAATGTCTGTTATTGTTATTACACCAAATGAGCTACCAAACTATTACTTACTCATTTAAATTGAAATCAACTATTCAATATCCTTAACCGAAGTTTATAAATGTTTTACGTTAAAAAGGAAGTCATTATGGATTAGTTTTCTAATACTTACATTTCTACTATATTCTATCTGCTTCAACTTCTCAAATGAAAGAAACGCCGACAGGGTCCATAGAGGACAAGGGGACAAAAGGGGACAATCATATTAATTACTTCGAAGGATAAATAGTCTACCTTTTTATATATATATATAAAAAAAAATGGGGGGGGGGGGGTACAATGAGCTAGTTGTACGATTCTTTTATAATCTGGACATCTATCAAAACAAGGGAAATGACAAAAATATACAGATGTCCTTTATCCCTTTTGGAGACCCTGTCAAGGCCCCAATACTTACATAATTGCAACTAACTTTGATTTTTATCAGAAGTGATTAATGAAATTCACGACTTGTTTCGACGTTGTAATTAGGGCTTCACTATTCGGGGTCAGTTCTGGTCATAGTGTCCGATAACAACCTTTCGATGCTCTGGTGGTACACCTTTTTCATATCTATTTGTACCGTAGGTGGTACAAAAAGAGATGAAAAAAAGTGTAACGCGGTACTAAAAGGAGAGAAGCTTTCATATATTTTTTATTATTATTACTATTGTTATTACAAGCTAACCGGTAATAAGATTTATATATATACACTGATGTTCTATTTATAGTAAGTGACCTTGACCTTTGATATCAAAGGCTGAAAAGCTATCCAAAAGCTTAAGCAAACATTTTATTACACTGGATAAAGCCGGAGTGCATACGGCCCAAAAGAACTCCACATATTGTGCATAAAATGTTTTTCTATTTATAGTAACATTAACCTTGAAATTTGACATCGATGCCTCAAAAGCTACAATTTGTATTCTAAGCAAATACTTTCTAAAGTAACAATGACCTTAACCTTTCACCACCAAAGCAGGCACTTTCTCTGAGGTAGCACTTGATAAAGCCTGAGTATAATCATCCCAACAGAATTGGAAATATTGTGCCTTAACTAATTTTCTATTCATGGTAACAGTGACCTTGACCTTTGACCGCCGGACCTGAAAAGCTATTCATAGCAAGCACTTTCTTCAGAAAAGCATTGGATAAAGTCTGAAAGCAATCCAACCAACATTACTGAAGATATTGTGCAGAAATTAAACAAGAAGCCCAATGGGCCTGTGTCGCTCATTTGCTTCTAATGCAACTTTGAAGCTGATCTAGGTCATTTATGTGGATGCTAAGCTCATTACCACTTTATTCAAACATAGCACATTTGACCCATGTGACCTCTGAACAAACTTGGTAGTCCTTTATCCAAGCATGCTGCATGCCCAATATCAGGTCTCTGGGCCTCTTGGTTATTGAGAAGAAGTTATTTAAAGATGTTAGCACATTTGACCCCTGTGACATTGAAAGTCGATCAATGTCATTCATTTGAACACACTTCGTAACCTCTCATCCAGGCATGCTATAGGCTCAATAGCATGGTCCTCTTAGTTATTGAGAAGTTGTTTTAAGATTTTAGCACATTTGACCTCTGTTATACCTTGAAAGGCAGGCAAGATAATTCATTTGAACAAATTTGGTAGTCCTTTTTTCAAGCATGCTACAGGCACAATATCAGGTCTCTGGGCCCCTATTGAAAATAAGTTGTTTAAACATTTTACCTCATTTTACCCTTGTGACCTAGGCCTGGAAAAGTCGGGCAAGGTCACTCATTTGAACAATCTTGATAGCCCTTCACCCCAGCATGCTACAGGCCCAATACCAAGTCTCTGGGCCTCTAGGTTATTGAGAAGATGTTTAAAGAGACTAGAAAAGGTCTGTAAGACATAAATGCCCCCGCTGCCATGTGAAATTAGTTTAAGTGTTCTATAAAAAGTTACACTTTGATCTTGATAACCTGAAACATGCACACACACAAGGTACTACACTTTAAGTTGATTTTAATATTCTGATGTTTTTTCTGTATGTTATTACCCTCTCCATAACATATTGGATGAAGTTGCTAAGTGTTTAAATTAAATCAGTTGATGATTTTCTATATATAGCAACAGTGACCTTAGCTTTGACCTTGGAACCATGAAACACAGCAATGTCCGAAGTATACTCATACGTGACCTTTGCATAAAGTTTGACCAAAATCCATGAACGAATGAAGTTGCTAAGTGTTTAAATTGAATCAGTTGTTGATTTTCTATATATAGCAAGTGACCTTGGCCTTGACCTTGGAACCCTGAAACACAAGGGTATACCCATATCTGACCTATGTATAAAGTTTGACCAAAATCCGTGAAAGAATGAAGTTGCTAAGTGTTTAAATTGAATCAGTTGATGATTTTCTATGTATAGCAAGTGTGACCTTGACCTTGATCTTGGATCCCTGAAATACAACAATTTATGAAGTTTACTCATACTTGACCTTTGTATAAAGTTTGACCAAAAACTGTCAAAGAATGAAGTTGCTAAGTGTTTACATTGAATCGGGATGCGACGCGACGGGACGGGACGCCGGACGCCGCACCAGGGTAAAAGCTCACTTGTCCTTGGCAGGTGAGCTAAAAACAGATAGAAGGACAGACAGACAGAAAACCTGATTACTATAGATGTGCAGGGGTCCTAACAACAAATTGTGAAATTGAATTGGAGAATCCCCCTTTGGGACCCCACTCCTCCCCCTAGGGAGCCAGGGTATTATGAGAGAGACCCTCTTTAAACGGCATTCAGTCTTCTTAACCGAGTAATGCTCCAGACCATTGGTTTGAAAACATCATCAAGCCATACAGAAGGACTTCAAAGGAATCATTGTACTGTATTAGGTGATTTATGACCTCGCAACAGCCAGGGTCATATGAGGACGGGTGTCAAGGAGACACCTATAGAAGAAAACTACAATTCGAAGGAAGTGCATGTGTTGACGGAAAAAATACAATTACTAATAAGAATTTCCTATGTGCAAAGGGCTATAACCCCAGAAAAAATACAACATTGACACTGGATTCTAACTCAAACTGTAATCCATTATACATGTATACTAAGTTACAAATAATATGGAAAACAGTTACTTATGAGAATTTCCAATGTGCAAATGGTCCGTAACTCCAGTCAAAAATGGAATTTTAATACATGTACATGGTTCAAACTCTGTAATCTATTATTGATAAAGCCACAAACAAAGTTTCAAATTGATATGGCAAGCGGTAGCGAAATAAGCCAAAAAAAAGTTTATTTTGATGATTTCCTATGTGCGAAGGGCCATAACTCCAGCAAAAAAAGGAATATTAACACGAGCTTCGAACTCAAACTGTAATCCATTATGACAAAGCCACATATTAGGTAACAAATTGATGTTGCAAGTGGTAGCGAAAAAAAGTCTGGAAAAACATTAATTATGAGATTTCTTATTTGCAAAGGGCCATAACTCCAGCAACAAATGAAATATTGACACAGGGTTTGGACTCTTACTGTAATCCATTATGATAAAGCCACATACTATTAAAG